TTCTTATCAGACAGTTACAAGTTATGGACTGTGGGTAGGGCATCGATACAGTGCTTTAATTGACTATAATATAAAGTATAGTTTGCTAATCAGAGTATAAGCATTAAGAAGGGTATAATGTAGGATAGTTGTTTGTTAAAGCAGGCAGAAAAGTATAGAAATATATGAGTTTTAGATCAGGTAACGAGTGGAGAAATAATATTAATTTATAATCAACATAGTGTACAGAAGAGTAAGAAGCTAATACAGGGTAAACAGGAAGATGATTGAACCAAAACTCGTCAAACCGTGTGTAGTTTGATTTTGATGTTTTGTTTCAGTGCAGTTTAAGTTGTTATATGTGGCTAGTTATTGATTTGTTTGTGAAATGAATCTACTCGTGAAACGGTTTATTTAAGTCTTTATCAACGACTGTAAATAAATGTGCGATCTGCTAATGAGAAATGAATTTCTAAGTGGATATTAAATAAAAGTGGAAGTAATGAATTGTTCGAAGATAGAATCGTTTACTGAAATAGATAAATATCATAATTCAGTTATGTATTTAAATGAAGCTATTCTTAACTCACATCATTAACCGACTTTCAGTTGCATAAAGATTGAAAAGTATTCAGTATTGAGCTGAGGTTTCGTAATAGTGTGGGACTCTTGACGAACAAACATCTAAAACTTCAACGGCAGTGGATCTTCAGACCAGCGATTTGGCGTCCGGTGGTTTAGGTTCCTTTTATTCAGAGGATTGGCAGTATTGCTTAGCTGTCTTTCGTTCCCATCGGTGATCATTGGCAGGACCATAATTGTGCAGTGCTGATTAGTTGCATACTTGGACGAAGTAACAGTCCGATACTTCTAGATCTTGAGTGCCTTCTGAACTATCAACATTTTTTCATATTAACGTTCTTTACTATTTATGAACTGATGCGTCTTAGCTTCATGATACCATGGCCTTGACCTATTTTTGTTAATAATAATAATTTTATTCTCAAATAACATCCATCTAAATTTTACTTCCTACTGGAAGGTCGGGCCGAGATTTCAGAAGAAGCCATTTAAAAGAATACAATCATGCCAAAGTTGGCGGAAATCCTGACCTCAGAATTTATTTGCATTATTGTTGTTTTGAAACTAAGATTGGACGGCTTCTCATCAAAATACATTAAGAGAATAGTAACATGAAACGAGGGTTTTGCCAACTACTACAGTTGGATGTCACTGATTAATGAAAGGAATAAAATCCATTTTCCGCTTTCTGTCTTAGATGAATATAATTGAAAAACATAACCCACCGTAAACTTAATAAGTACGGTAAATACTTAATGACCATGTCGTTCGTCTACGTCTACTGACAGTACTCTAAAACCAGAATATCAAATTAAAAATACCCCTGTAGTTCTAAAGAAGATTCAGTTCATCAAGATTCCATCTAAACGGCATACATCTCCAGAAATCCTAAAAACCAAATGTTGAGATCTCTGAGAACATCATTTGTTTGACTAAACTCTAAATTATGTTTTCCATTGCGTATCTGACTCTTGAATATCTCAGATATTGTAGGGCCAGTGAAGTTTAACTGAGCCCTAGCCGAATCATCCTGCAGTTGGGTCATTAATCATTGAACAACTCGTCGATCCTCGCCAAGGTCAAGGACAACTAACGCGCATCAGTTAATCGTATGCCATGGACTGGCCCATGCGGCAGTGGTCTTACTTTCGCTTGTATCTACTTTAACCAATATATTTCTGTAAAAACGTCTTCTGTGTTGTAGTCTTCAAAGCATCTACGATACCTTGATACGTCAATGGGGTATTCCCTGTAAGGTGCTGACCACGAAGTGTGACTTCGACGTTAGCTAGTTTGTCACGTCATTCACGTCTAACTCGAGCAGGCCTCCAATCATTTCGATATAGATAATCTACGCTGGTGATCTACAGTATAAACCGCTAGTTTAACTCAACCCGTTGTGCATCAATCAGTTTACTTGCTCTCATTTGTCAAGCCACAATGGCTAAACAATTCACTTGCTTTTCAAAGAATGCAAGTTAGTTTACTACACTTTTGCTAAACACAAAAGCATTTCTACTCACATTTTTCATGCAGAACTAGTTATTAAAAAGTTTTCATTTCCTAATATCAAGATGTAGCATCGTGAAGAGCCTGAAGATGGCACAGGTATTCAGTGTTTGACAACGCTTTTACCGGTAACAACTATTATCACTCGTACCCACCAAGAGAAATCAAAAGGCAAAATCGAGGAGATCGGAAGTGTGTATTCGGCGATAACCAATATATCGGAATTGTCTGGTCCAGTCTGGCTAGCGGTTGCGGTAGGTGTTGAGCACGGAGTTCCCACACGTGATCGGGTGCGGATGCATGACCGTGCGCCTTCAGCTAGGTGAGTCCATTAAAACATGTGGTCAGCATCCAACGTCGAAAACTTACAGGGCTATTTATTTTGGGGAATTATTTACCGCCACAAGCAAAACAACTCATCGATTTGGACCCGACATCTTTGTCCAGAAGTGAAATGTTTACCGAACATAGAAATGTAAATCAACAGATGCAAACACTGTGGTCTAGTGGTTTGTCGTTCATCGTCAGACTTCAATGACCTTAGATTTAAAACCTGATAAGGTCGTGGAGATACTGTTTTTTTGTCTCATCCAAGGACAAAATAATTAACCAGTGCTTCATGGTTTTCATTCAGTTTCTAATTACGTTTATATAAAGGTCCAAATGAAACTCTTACAATGTTTGATATGAAGCGTTCAATGTTTGACTTTCATCATGATCTTAAGACTTTACTCTTCTTTGTTAATTGTAACTAATTCGTGTATTCCTTATCATTTTTTACCTTCATCAAGTTGAATCCAAGTCACTTTCTGATGAATCCTTCTTTATCTATTACGTAACCTCCAGTTGGTACTGTAAAAGTGTTGTGATGTTTTCCAATTCATCTTATTAATAATGACGCGAAACGTTTCAGACGATTTTCTTTTATTTATAGACTAGTACATTTTGGTGAATTTATTATGAATACAAATTTGTAAAGTTCTTGGTAAATGACATTACGAAAGCTAAAACAAACTTTTTCCTTGTTTGTAGAATAACGCGAAGGGATTGTTATGTTCGTTAGGAAACCATAATTCATAAGTGTGTGTGTGTGTTCGCTAATCATGTTTTAGCTGGGGATTGAAGAGATCGTTCAAATCTTTTGAAATCAACCTCTCTTATTATTATTAACGGACTTTAATACTCATGAGATTATTTCCAGAAAATACGAAACGCTAGCTCATCGATATTTACTTGACGCAGCAACTGATTTGGATTTAGGAAACAGTCATGATTCATATTCGAAAGGTGTTCAGTGTACTTAAAAAGTCAGTGAAAGTCAAGGTGTTTTGGAAAACAGTTTTGATTTTGTTTTTCCTTGTATTAAATCTTTATCGTTGATTAAGCCAGTTCTCCCTAACTGTTTACAACGTTTAGTAAGTAGTATTATTTGTCATTAGAATTGAACAATTGTACAAACTTCATATTAGAAATATTAATAATAATCTGAGTTACAGTGTGGATCCTGTTTGGTAACACGCTAGTTTCCTAAAGGCTTATAATCAAGGGCACAATCAACAATAACGGTGATGCCCTCGACGTTTCAGGAGAATGTTACTGTCAGACACTTTAACCTGTCCGCACTAACTATATTGGTGAGACCATCACCTGCAGCTCAGTAGGACTCCCAGAAATAAACCTGAGCGTTTGTCGGAAGCCGAAGCACCTAAACAAGGACACTTCTGACCCGAAAGTAATTCATTCTGCCATACTGAAGGGAACACCTTCAGTCTTGGCAACATGAATCAGCGTGATGTTCTCACATTTGCTAAGCCAACGCACGGTACCAGGAAATTGGAAGCTGGCTCACATTACAACTAAGAGGATAAACTGTCACTTCAGGAGGATCTGACTCGACTTAAAAGTTGGGTAGACGACTTAACTTTAGTACTTCAAAGTGTAAGGCAGTCTATCTGAGACGTGTTTCAGACTACAGCAACAACTTAGGCAATTCCTCTCCAGAGATATTCTAAGTCGAAAAGATCTGGGAATGTTGGTACCCTTAGGCTAGATGTTTCAAAAATGCCTTTCGAGCATACCTCGCACTCGTAAAGTTGAAGCGCACTTTCGGAAAGTTTCACGGAAGGATTTTCCTACTAATTTTCAACGATGATAATCGATCTCACTTAGAGTACGGAAACATAGTATTTCCTATCTCACTCTAAGAAGATATGAACGCACCGAAACGTAATAGCGAGTCACGAAATCAGTTCGTGGATACAAGTTCAAGCATTATGAAGGATACTTCTAATCACCGAAGCTGTGCCACATTACAGCACATGCGCCTTAGAGTAGACCTTCTAATGAGTTATATCGTCCTTAACGCTTCTGGTCATCCCTTTAAACAACTACTTCAGCTCAGTCCCAAAACAAATCCAGAGACTGGAGATACAAAAAAGCAGAACGGACTGTAAACACACCTTCTCCTACTTAATATTAGTCGAATACCACATTCCTTTGCCGACTGATGTTGTCCAAGGGACTTCACAGGAGTCCTTTAAGAGGAAACTTGACATATTCTTGAGGACTGAGGACAGTATCTCGCTTTAATCTAATAATTCCCTTTTTTTCTATTTTACTGTTAAATCAACTTAGGTTCTTACCCGAAGGCACTGGCGGTCCACTGCTATTAGATACGGAAACTCGTTAAACTAATGCCTATTCAATTCCGTCCAGAACCATTTGAAACCATTTAAAAGCATTTTAAAGATCTAAAATGAAGAATTACTTGCAAATACACTAATCTTAGATTCATCGTCCATAATTACATTTTATGAATGGTTTTAAGGGTTTGAATTAGTTGTAAAGCGTTGCATTTAGCCTGCGTGGTTTTTGTTTGAGTTTCTGTGGCGCATTGAAATGTGGGGGTTGACCTTATTTCCAATTGACGAATTTAAAATTGCTCTCTGTTTCTGTTGTGATGTGCCATGTTGTATGTCGAGGCGGTGGTAGGTTGCAAAATCTTGTGTTGACCAGAGATATCAACGCCCTGATCAGTCTTATAAATAAAGGTATTCTTTATTCAAAAAATTATATTCAGGTTATAATATAAATACTGTCAATCAGTTTGACGAAACTGCGCTTTACGTCGCATCATATTACGGCGATTTAGAAATTGTTGACGTTCTTCTCAGCAGGAACGCTGATCCTAATTTGTGAGTTATCAAACAGCCCAAAATATGTGAATGGCTATTTATTGTGTATTCTAGGCCTACTGTAGAAGGAAATACTCCGCTTCATTCAGCTGCCTTTAGAGGACATACAGATGTTATGAAGCAATTACTCACTCACGGAGCAGATGAAAGCTTAAAAAACAGTTTAGGTATGACTGCTTCTGACCTTCTTGAGGTCCACCAATCTACTGAAAAGTGTACTAAGTTATAATACGATGAGAGACGCTTCTAAACTACCATGCCTCATAGGTGATTCATCAAAGTTGAAAGCTGAACAGAGCCCAAAATTGATGAAGTCAAACCTTCGGTCTGTTGAGAGACTTCGAAAAAGATACACAAAGAACAACTCAAAGTATATAACTTCATTTTGTTCGGTAATGATAATGAATTTGTCTTTAACCGTTAATCACCTTTCAGTTCAACCTTGATCACCTACAGTTTCCCCGACAATTTAATTCGTTCATACCTGTTAATCGCGTTTCTGGTGTAGAGCAGGATATACCCACAAATCTTCGCCCCCCAAAAGGAGAATTTTTTAACAGATATTGGTAAGAATGTCTGATTTGTTCACTATATTGGCCGTCTATGAATAAGACATTTAGATCTGGAATTTGTAAACTGCTGTTGATACAAAGAAAAAATTCACCTTGAGCTGAACCATTTTTCTTTATAATGTTAGAAGTTATTCATACATCTAGTTGTGTATTCAGGACATAAACTAGTCCGTTTGTTGGATACAACGTTTCGTTAAGTCATGAACGTGGTAAACTGAAATGTCATTGTCCTACATCATTCAAAGGGTAAATCAATAGATCTAAACTGATATAGACCCTTTCAAATATGTGCTTCGAATCAAGCTTTTTCAAATCGGTGAAGAGAGACGAAATGAAGAAGATAAACAGCAGAGTAAAATTAATCGTAGTATCAATGAGAGAAACGAAAAAACAGTCTAAATTATATTTTTAAAATGAATAAATAAAACCGTAGGATAATATTTGAACCAAGATTCAATATGAATTTGAAAATAGATGCTTAGCCACCGAAGTGACCTATTTGTAACCGTGTCTCTTAACCTTTTCAAAGAAAGAAATTCTCCAAATAGGTTTTATAAGTAATAGTCTCGTCACATCAAGATTGTGGCTTGAACAGATACGCAATAATGTTATTTTCTGTGCTGTTTAACAGTAGCTGACAATTTATAACGTGGCCGTTCTTAGATTTAAATACAGCCATTATTCTGCTGTCGGTTTTTAAAGTATGTAGTATAGAAATTTGACTCTACTGTTTTTCGGCTTTTGAAGTTCAATTTTCATGTGTTATGTTTATCGTTTTAGTAGTAGTGACAGCATAGCCCAGAAAAGCAGTAAGGTGAACATCTAGTATCAAAGATAAGCTTGGTAGTTTATAATTTCCGTGTCAACAAAGCTTTGATAAATTCACAGGATAATCAAGCCGATGTCCTACAAAATCGATATATAACTAGTGTTTTTGTCGACCTTTATACTTTTTCTTCCGAAAATGTGTCCATGGTTCGCCTTTAAATGTGCATTTCAAAGTACATTTATTGCGTATAACGGGTATACTAAGCAGGCACACATATAATTGTTTACTGGGTAATCTTTGGAACATATTATTTCTTGGACTATTCTCAGAGATTCATGTGCATATTTTAACTGGAAGCTTTACTCAAAATACTTATGTTTACTTTATTCAAATACATATCGAATTTCAGTGTTTCACTTATCTATAAGAGACGAGTGCTACTAGTGTGTTTAGTAATTTAATTTGGGAAATGAAAACAGGCCATGAACTAGCCTGATTGAATCTTCGTGGTGAATAGTCTTAGGTCTCGCTTCGACAGTAAGTAAAAAACATTATGCCGAAAATCTTCACTTAAAAGAGACGAAACATCATGTCTTAGTATCGACTTTCTTTTGTCTCATCGATATTCTGCGGAATTTTGTTCATCTTTGATTTTTATTTTAAATAAATCAGACTAAATTATTACTTTAATTATATCCTGAACTATTCTCACTACCATCTCTTCTTCAGTGCTTGATCGGACTCACTGTTATACTTTACACAAGTACAGTTATTTAGTTTACCAACATTATAGATTGTATATATATGCCTCACATTCACCTATTCGTTAAACATTTGTATTGGTTGTTTTAATCTTCTCATTGATGTTTAGGACCATAATTGATCGGTTTCTTCTAACATCTGTAATAATGTTCGTTTCAATAAGATTTATCTTGTTTATTTGCTCAAAGTTGTAAAATCGACATTGGAAACGTCTCACTGAATGTACATATATGGTAATTTATATCTCTCCAAGTTATTCTGGATGGAAGGATGTGTGTTCTTAAAAAATGAGCTTTTTATGGGACAGGGATCAAAATGTTCATTTACTGGAGTCGTAAATTAGTGGCTGAAGTACTCAGCATTTAGCTAGCTCAGTTCTGATTCAGATCCTGTCCCAAGCTGTTTGGTTTGAAAAAAACATCTAATACCACCATTTTCTGTATTCGAAGTTATATTCAGAATCTGATTTCATAAGCCTGTACATTTTAAGTGACTAACATCAATAAAATCCCGCGTAACGTAAACATAGACACTAGTAAGTAAACCACACATCAATGTTACTAATATGAGTTGTGAATTCGAGAAAGATACCCTTCGTATTACGGGTTCTAGAAGCCTGGAAAATGTGTATACAATGAGGACTCTTGACGATAAAATTTTGAAGTAAATGTCGTCAGTGGAGTGTAGGCTTTTGTTTCAGATACGTTTCGGTCCGGTCTGAAGGTGCGCTGTTTTTGCATGATTGTATAAAAAAGCCTGTGCACGATAATTACTATAATTACTTCAGTCTTCTCCTTAATTTTGCTTTATTTTGATGTTGTAAATGTCTAGCTAGACAGCGACTACTTTCTTTGTGGACATTCAACATCATAAGCATATCTTAAACCGCTTGATGAAGTATGTTATTCCCAAATTCCTTGAAGTTAGATTACTTTAATTACAATCGTAAAGTAAATATTCCTCGTAATATCCATTAAGAATTGATTACAATAAGTAATAAGCAAGAACTAACATAGAATAACAGCTGGACCTTCTCAAAGATACATAGCATTACTAAGCTTCGAACTTAGTTGTAGTGACACATGTTTCTACGAAGCTTGTTGGTAAGCTTAACTAAATGCCGACATAGTTATGAGATATATTCAATATAACTTTCTTACTGATTCTAAGTGTATGGTACAAATTATGAAAAATATCTAATTTGTAATCAACTTTAATCGTTATTTAGATATATATTGTGACTGCTAAGTATTAACCTCCTAGTTACATAAATCCAATCGTGTGTATATATTTTCAACACATCTGGTGTGTAACAAACTACATTTTATGTCCAACTACTCCTACTAATCCTACTAACCATGACGGTTTTGAAAATGATTATTTCTGGCTGTAATGAATAGACGAAATGCTCTCAGTTATTATGGTCAAATTACTCAGATTATCAGACAAGCATTACTTCATACAACCACAGTCTTACTATTTCTTTTTTCACACCGGTAAATAAAGCCATTAACAAAAACGTCAAACTATTTAATCGCTTATACTTAACTAAAATAAAAATAGAGTAAATGCATAAATAGTTGACGTTATTTGTAAATATTAGATAATCAGCCAACAGTAGTGGAGAAACAAAATTTAACAAAATAATAGTATCCCTTATTTGATGCCTACTTTTTAATTAAGCTTTTATTAGGTAGCATAGATTGTTAGATTAGAAATGATAAGCATAAATTTATTGAAGTAATAACTCAATGGAACGTTACGTTACAAGAATCACGATGTAACGATAGATAGCAGTATGAAACGTAGTAATAAAATGACTCAAAAACAAAGGATGTGGTTATGATTCAATGCCTATATCGTTTGTTTATTCTCATTATGTCAACTAAAAATTGAATCACTATGTTTTTTTGGAGTTTATTATTCATTTGAACACATAAATATTGGTACAAAGAGGAAACGAATAGATGTGCGCCACACAAGTCACTGCATGGGTACCCAGACAGAACCAGGTTGTTTCCTTAGGGGGGCACGCTCGGGGCCTCTCACCTAGTGGAGCAATGTCAGGAGATGCAATCTCATGGTAGTCGGTAACCAATAATTGGTTCATACGCCATTTATTCCCTTAGGATCCTACAGCCCATGTGCACCACTGAAATGAATCAAAAATGTCAGCATCCATTAAATGAAGATAAATAAATAAGTAAACAAGATAAAAGACTGAATTCAAAGAGGAATGTATTTGTAATTGAAAATTTGTGTTATTTTAATTTTCCAGTCCATTGTTTAACATATTCAGATAAGATAACTGATTTGAAACCGTTGTATGTATTATCTGTTGATTAGTTAATATGATATAGATAGATCAATTGAAATAGGGAGTTCAGGTTTACTTATTAATCATTAATTGCCATGGGACAGCTAGCTGTATTCCATCTCTCCTATTAATACTGTTTGAATTAGCCCATATATGTAGGGCTTCGGCTGTTAGTCGTGCTTTGTAAGAATTAAAGCCTTTTTGAATGATTTTTGCGCCATTGAAATCAATTGTATGACTCGATTCAATCGAGTGTTATGCCATCGCCATCTGTTATCTGAACACTTTTCGTTTCATACCAAATGTCTCTTACACACTGATGTAAATACCTACTTTAAACATTGTTCACGTTGATTGGATGACTTATTCAGTATACAGTAAACCAAAAAACCATGTACCTATTTATATTCGATAATTTTATTGTTTGATTATATTTTCCTTGAAAAAGCTTGGGTCAGATTGCCGACCGAAATGTTGAATTTACTTCAAATTCTTTCTCTGAGATTTTCATAAATACAACATTCTTCCTCTTTAATGTTTCACATTAACTTGGCGCTCAAATATTGTAAAACTATTCGTTCAAATTTAGACAAAAGTTCTTAGTCAAATATTATTTATCATTTGACTAACGTGTATTACAACTGTTTTTCATCCTTAGCAAACAATGGTTTGGAATATCTGTTCTCTTGAATCAACTTAATCCAGATAAGATACAGTCATTTGATATGAAAAGTAAAACGGTTATGAGAAATTTAATTATCCGAGAATTGGAAGTAATGAGGTTAGTTTCACGTTCATCAATACCAACTACCCTGTGTTTTAAGTTATAATGTTTTATATCATTCTATGATTAGGACAAACGGGTTGATGAGTATCAACAGCTGCGAAACGTAGCCTGAGGTGTCACTAGTGGGCTACTGAATTTCGACGGCATTCATGTTATTTGGGTTATTAAGTGCATCGTTTGACTTGTGTGAAGTTATATAACTTGAGAGTGAAATTTGCGAATAGCTAAATGGTCTGAAATTATGCATTTTGTTTTCTCCTAATCAACTGGGTAGTGCCCTTTGTTTCGATCCGATATTGGGATTTTTCACTTGACTTCACCAGTAATTTATTTATTTATTTATTATTTATTTATTTGAACACATAAATATTGGTACAAGAGAGCGCCAATATATATGCGCCACAATGGGAATTCGAAGAGAAGTAGAAAGAAAAAAAAAAAACTAAGGAACGCAAAAGAAAAAGAGAGTAGTGACGAAGAGGTACAATCAGAAGAAATCTTTCAGGTAAAGGAGACACAACCACTTTTTATGAAGAAAGTAAAAGAAGGTTACAGCAGGATCGCCACTGGCTTCTATTCTGAGCCATATCTGATAACGTCTCTAGCCACTGTGTTGCACCATCTCTCGGACCCCAGCCAGGGAGTCGTGAAGGACCAACACAAGCCAGTCCTTTGCAGCTTTCTTTCATGCCACGACACCATGTCATACACTGACCACCTCTCCGCTTCTTCCAACCAGTCCCAGAGTCGGCAAATAATGCACGACGTGGAATTCTCTGGGACGACATTCGGAGAACATGTCCAAGCCACCGAAGTCGGTGTTTCAAGATGGTGACACCAATTGAGTTATCATCTCTGTGCCCGAACACACGATGCCGAACCTCTGCATTACTAACATGGTGTTGCCACTGAATGTCAGCAATCCTTCGGAGACAGCGATGATCAAACACAGAGAGTCGTCTAACGTCCTCAACTCGGAGAGGCCAGGTTTCACAAGCATAGAGCAAAACTGCTCTCACCGACGCGTTGTAGATCCGGCCTTTTACAGCCAGACTGACATCACGAAGGCGCCAAAGGTGGCCCAGATTGGCATAAGCCGCTCTGGCTTTCACTATACGTGCATTGATCTCATCACTCACACCCCCACCAGCACTTATGCAGCTACCCAGATACACGAACTTCTCAACTACGTCTATCTGCTCACCATCCAGGGTGAGTACAGGATTGGGATCCTGCCAGTCTTGTAGAAGTACTTTGCACTTCGAAGGTGCAAAGCACATACCATACCTACGGACATTGATTGCCAACTGATTAAGTGCGGATTGCATGCCTTGGGCATTATCGCACCAGTAATATCAGATTATTTCGTCAGAGATTCAAAAATATTTGTACTTGGTCAAGTACCAGAATGCTAATATACACAAGAATCTAATTCATGCCTTATGATCACTAGCGAAAACGCTTCAGAACATGTTATTCTTGATAAATATCGTTTGAGTTATTTAGCTTTTAACAATGGATCAGTAAAGAATGTGTAACAGTTAGGGTTGGAACATTTTGGATTAGTTACGTCCGTAGAATATCGATGGAAGAGTGATCGGTATCAATGACAGAGATTAGATGAATCATATGAAATGATGACTAACTATTAGTAAAATACGAAAGTTTTCATTTATCGAAAGCTATTTCTTTACGGAACGAATGGGAGCTTTTTTCTGAAATTACTTATAATGCCCCACTGTACAATTATAATCAGATGTTAACGAACCATAAATCCACACTTCCATTTTTGTAGTAGAACTGCTCTTCGAGAACTTGAGATGCCATAATTATGATTGCATCCAGTTGTTTTAGCTAAAATAAACAGTGGCGGGGATATGAGATCCAACCCAGTAGTTGGCAGCCAGATTTTTTTTTACCACGAACACACCTCTCTACTGAATCTGAATATAGAGCGTAAAGAGTAACAGTTCATATCTATACCGTCATTCATTATTTTATACATTTAACTGAAATACTAAAATGTCTAAGCTCATCATAATATTGCAAAAATTATTTAGTGATTTTCATGGTAAACCCATACATAAGTTTGGTTATTATTTCTTAATCATGTAAATGAATCAAGGATTTGCTTTTTATTCTACCATCGTTTTTAATCTAATTTTCTATAGCCGTATACATCATCCAAATATCATCAACCTATTGTCTATAATATACAATATTCCTCAAGAATCATGTGATCCATCAATAAATCCTGAAAATTTGGCTTTGGTATATGAACGTCCCTCCATGGGTACTATGTATGAGTATATTCAAGAGAATGTAAGTTAACTAACAACTTATTACGTCTTACGTCGGTTTAACTAAAGTTAAATAATTTACTTATGTAGTTCCAATCAACAATCACTGAACTGTTTGAAACTAAATGCTTCTGAAGATAAATATCCAATCAGAATAGATAATATAGTGTGTAGATAGACATAAAAGTTAAGAATTATCATCAATAGTTTCCGAATTATTCGGCATTTAGCATAGAGTTCATCCTCAATTTACTTGTCAACATATATATTGTTTTGTTATGATATCTTTTTAATTCTAAGTATTTCAATTGTGTGATTTACGTAATATTATGGTTCGAGTTGGCTTACACAACAAATTATGTATTCACTTACGACTACAATCCTACCTGTAATACCAACCTAGTGTGAATACAATCAAATCTTTTTTAGAAGCAACCAAAGACGTTCAAGTCTCCTGACGACAACTTAGTAGCAAATAAAGAATAAAACTGATTAGTTACTGTGCTTTTGAGGATGTAAGATTTTTCAATACTTTGAATAAACTTTGTTTGGGTTTGAGATATCTATTTTGATTTGCCCCGTTTTAAATCTGAATTAAAGATAATGTGGAAACTGAAAACTGCCGTTTCATCATCAGTCCTGAATAAAATCTGATTCAGCCCTAATGGAACAAGATAATACATCATCCGCAGAAATTCTTAGAAGAGTGTAGGAATAGTTGTTGAGATATGCTTCAATCATAATATAATTTAGTAACCAAGTTAAGGTTATTGTATATTTAGCTGTGAGCCACACGCCTTAAAATCGATGATACAGATATTTTAAAAACATAAGCTGGTGAAATGCATCTTGAAAAGATTTTTATGGAGATTTTAGTAATTTCAATAGTTGAGATCATAAGTCAATTGAAGCTAGACTACCATGGAAAACCTGGAAGCACTAAACGGCTGTTTCGTCCTATTTTGAGACTCAGCAGTGCGCATCCACAATCCCGCTCGTGTGATTCGAACCCAGAGCCTTCGGTCTCGCGTGTGAACGCTTAACCTACTGAACCACTGAGCCGGCATCTAATGGTGTTAATGTCTAACCTCAACCAATCCACTGCTGAGGAGTCGCATAATAGGATGAAATGACCGTCCAGTTCTTCCAAGTTTTCAATGGTGGTCTACCATCAATCGGTTCATGATCTCAATCAAAAACTTAATAATTTCCACAACCCCTAAATTGATTCATTTTGTTATTTGAATTGGCTAAAACAAAGTCATGTCTGTTTTCTTGTTATTAAAAAAGAAAAGAAAAAAGAAAGAAAGAAAATCAACGAGTGGTAATTTCAGATGAATTAAACCTCTTCTTTTCATCTCAATAAAATAGATTAATCCCTTCAGTTTGATTATTATTATTATTATAAATGTATAAATCTCATTAATACTATTCATATAGATATATATCATGACGAGTGTTCAAGTAGATTCTTCTCCCTCTCCTTCTTCTTCTTCTTCTTCTCATTGTGAGTGTAACTCATATAAACAGACGATATCATCAACGAATGTTTTATTTATTTTTTATATTTTTTTATTTACCTGATTTTAATTAGATGAAACCCATTTTGGTTTAGTTACAATGCATGTATATATATATATATATACATGCCTACATACATACACATACACAAATGTACGTCTTGGGAAACTATATAAACGATATTACTATTAGAAGGGGGGTTTTTGTATGGATATTCTTAATAATCTTTTCAATAGTTGAGATCATGAGTCTTCAATTGACTCATGATCTCAACTATTAAAATATTACTAAAGTTTAAAGAATATGATGAATAGTGATCTTATTGATCAATCAATTTTAACATTAAAATTACTATTCTATATTTTTAATATTAGATGGCTTTTGTGGATATTATATAATAATTTGAATGGTGTTAAGATCATGAATCAGTTAAAGTTAGATCACCATGGAAAACCTAGAAGCACTGGACGACCGTTTCGTTCTATTGTGAGACTCCTCAGCAATGCCCATCCACGACCTCGCCTCCTGCGAGATTCGAATCCAGGACCTATTGGTTTAGCACACGATTACTTAACCACTAGACCACTGAGCTGGTATCCAATGGTGTTAATGTCTAACTTCAACTAATCCACGAAATTGAGCGACACATCCACCATTGTATTCAGTGAGTTACTATCTCACAACAGACAACCATGATGGTCTAGTTTCTACTGACTTATGATCTTAAACATTGAAATTACTATAATATCAACATATGCTATATTTGTTTATTTTTTCACATAAAATTTTGATGTCTAGATGATAATTATCGTTATAGGATGTAGATTATATACTTTAGATATTGATTTTAGCTGGAGTACCTCTGAAAACTAAACAGTGTTTTCGTCTTGATATGGAACTCAGCAGTAGTGTATGGTAAAGATTTGTTAGTTTTCAACATTCACGTTTGATGTCTAGACTATAATTAACATTTTAATATGTTAGTTATATGCTTGACTGAGATTGATTTTACCTAGAGTATCACTGATAATTAAAGAGTACTAGATAACATTTTCATCTTGATATGAAACTTAATAGTAGTGTATATTAAGAGCTTGAAGTACTAGTAGTAAAATTAGTCTGATTGATGAAAACGAAAGTGATTAGACATTGAGGGCATGAATACAGAAAAAAAAATGAATTGAACGAATAAAAAAAATGTAAAATAATTTAAAAACAAAGTATCCAACAGTAAATAAAGAATGAATGTAATTTAATAATTGAATTAATGCGTCAGTTGAATCTAGACCATCATGGAAAACCTGAAACCACTTGACGGCTCTCTCACCCTAGTATGGGACTACTCAGCGATGTGCGTCCACGATCCTGCCCCGCGAGATTAGAATCCAGGATCTCTCAGGATCGCGTCCTAACGGTTAACTTTTAAACCACTGAGCCGAATAATTTTCGTGAATTTCTTCTCTGTTAACTTGTCTGTTCATTTTTCTATTCATACGGATACAGTAAACTAAGGCTGAATTATCATGTGTTAATGCAGTGTGATAAGACAACAAGAAGGTTCTGGGTTCGAAGCCTGCGAGCGAGATCGTGGATGTGCATCGTTGAGGAGTCTCATAATAGGACGAGACGGCCGTCTTGTGCTTCCAGGTTTCCCATGGTGGTCTAGCTTCATGATCTCATGATCTCAATCCAAAACTTAATAATCTCCACAACCCCATACTGACAATCACTAATTTAATTTGCAATGAACACGAGGTCAAATAGCGATCCTATCTATTAATAGCTTTACATAGGGATAGAAAAGGTTGATTACACTAGTAATGTGTAATATGTATGTTGAGACGAAATAGTCAACCTTTTGATCTAACACATTAACCTCTTAATAGATTAATTGGATATTTTTCGACAATTATTTACTGAAAATATAAATAACTGAAATCATTTCACTGTTTATTGGGATTTTTAACAACTCAAAGTTGATGTTATTGAGATTGTAAAGAGTTATTAGTTAAACGCTGATTTTATAATTATTATTCCATGCTTTTCATTTACTCGTCTGTATTGTTACCGTCTTCTTTTCTTGTGTCTATCTGACGATGTTTTTCTTTGTCCATTGTGCTAATGTGAACAGTGGAGATGTTGACTTACACACTTTTGTAACAAGTCATGGTTTGACTACATTTCTCGAATTGCTATATCAGTATTCAAAGAATGAAATGGTGATTTTACTGGGAAGTTGATAGTCATCTTTCTATGTATAATGGTCAGGTAGAAAACATTTGGCAGCAATAACCTCTTCCAAGCTGACTAAAGTCAGCATTCGTTGTTTTAGACGCCGTTTTGATGTTCAAAGTGTATAGAATACCAATTAAATATCTAATCACCTTAACTGTGAACAATATTCTCACTCAGACGCAGCGTTCGAGGACTAAGTTCAGTAAATTCCATAGATCCAATTCTTCTAGTCCTCATCTATGTATCGTTTCCACAAGTGTATATACATTCAAAAATACACTTCTAGGTGACAACAGAAGGATATTACTCTACTTCTGATTGGTTTAAGGAAGATTTGGTATTAAATGCTGAAAAACGTTAGGCTTCACGGAAGCTTGTTTTTACTGCTGCTTTATTTTTTTTTTACCGATTCTACCTGAAATCTCATCCTTTTTGAATGCAAGATGGATAAGGATGAGCTTTTTTTCATGATGATTGTTTTTGTAGGACATTCCCCAGTGCATCGTAGTAAATTTCCTCAGATATCCATTTTTCATAAGATGTTTTCCAATGTTTAACATCTCATTTTGTCGATTAAACACGGTCTTCTGGGCATGTTAAATAGGGTTTTCACTAAACACCTTTCATAACTAGTGAGACGAAAACTATTTTACTTTATGTTTAACGTTGGCAATAACCTGGAAAAATGAAAGTGATGTACAAAATTGAATTATGCGTCCTTTTGCTTTTATCACTTTAACAAAGCAAATGAAAATATCAAGTATATGATGGAATATAAACTTAATAAATAATAAAACTCTCTAGATATAGACATGAAACATGCGAAAGATGGCGTTAGTCCGATATGGAACGGAACGGTCGTCTTGAATTCCATGGCTAGCCACATTCCATCTATTCTATGCCATAATGGTTTTATCAAAATAATCATTACAGAATGGATGTATGCCAACTAAGCCTGATCGAATTTAAGTCAAAATATAAACAACGAGATAGTTGATAAACAGTATGATCAACAGTTTATTATTTTAACTTTTGAGTGGTTCACCAAATGAATTTAAATAATATGATTTTCTTCATTAGTATTATATTTGATAATAGCTATAAAGCTTATAGTTATAACTATAACATATTATATGCAAATATAGATAGTAGCTAGCAATGGAATCCAAGACGCGCGCCACTTCGTCCTATTTGGGACTCATCAGCTGGATGTACCTTCATCTCAGATTTGATGTTTACTCTGGGAATCATACACGGTACATTTCGTTACAAACACCATCGCATTATCCACTTAGCTACAGAGTCCTGATAGCCACTTGCTTGTGCAATTAGATGAAGTTTAAACTCACTTGGTATTGTTTGTTCAAATTTTCTTATTGATGTTTAGGACTGTGATTGATCAGTCTCTTATTGGCATATGTGCATACTGTGTGTATTTACTGTTGCCCATTTTTGGCATTAGATAAATATTGTTTTATTTTTTGTGTCATTCTAGAAAAATACTTTGTCCACATTATCAGCTCTGGTTATTTCATGTCAAATATCTGAAGCTTTAATATTTCTACATTCATCTGGTATTGTACATTGTGGTGTTACACCGCATGCCATATATTTTTATGCAGAGGATCGAGTGAAATTAGGCAATTTTGAATATAGTCAGTTTATTGAGTAAGTGTTAGTGTTTATTTGTTTTGTGATTATACTGATTGATAGGATTTATTAATTAGTCAACTGGTCTAATTGTAATTAATGTCTTCTAAGAAAAGTGGTTTATTTCCAATCATAGGGGTGGACAGAACAATAGTTTTGTGGTTGGTACTCGAGCTACAGAGATTGTTGAATTATATTGAAATTACAAGTAGAGTTCAACTGAGTCAGGTGTGATGAATGTTTCTTGTCAAGACAATGAAAGATGGTTGCGTAATATCAAGGGCTGATCACATTTAGACTTGCATGACCATGTGTTTCGGCTCAGTGGTCTAGAGGTTAAACTTTAGCACGCAAAACCGAAGGTTTCTAGTTCGATCTCTGATGGCGCGATCACAAACGCTCACTGCCGTGGTGTTCTATACCAGATCTTCCAGAGTTTTAGTGATTGCCTAACTCAGATTGGTTCGTGATGTAGGTCTTTTGATTTTATAGAGAGTTTTAGATATTGTAAACGTAATTCTTATAACAAAGTGAAATTGGTTGAATGACCGATGGAAATTAACAGGTTTTCTTCTTTAATTTAGGAAGATCAATTGTTAGTCTTACAGTAATGTAAACAACGTGAAATCTATTTGTTCTCAGTTTGAAACCTTGTCAGGTTATGTGCTTACCATTGTTGTGAAATATATAACGGGAATGAAATAGTCACCTATCATCTTGTTTCTCTATTGTTTTATATTTAAAATGAATATTGGTAGATTAATAATATGGGATAGTCAGTCAGTCAGTCAGTCAGCTACAACGTAAGACCAGGCACACATGTGCATCGGTCCAGGTTGACATACCCCATTAGCACAACAAGATGAACACCGGATTCATAGGAGTGGTTAGGTCAAAGGTTGCAATAAGGATATAGTATAGGAAGGAAGAATTAGTTCGTATGAAGTGATTTTAATCTCTTAGTTTAAGGGAAGACAAAGAGTGTATACACCGACGCCATTCTGATCGATTCTGAGCCATGTCACCAAGAGTCTCCAACCATTGGTTACGATAGTCACGCGGACCCCAACCAAGTAGTCTGCATCTACCAACATGGCTAAGACTAGAAGTTAGTGACTTCAAGCACTGATGCCACGTTTTGGTTTGGCCGCCCCTAACTTTCTTCCAACCATCCCCTACACCGGTTAGCATTGCACGTCGTGGGATAACCAACCTTTTTCTTTTACTATTTCTAGAATCTTCGAGAATCAAGGAAATGAAGATAGGTGTCATTCAAATGGCTCATCGATTCGCAAATCAAAGTCTCATTATCACCAGTATCAACACAATAATAATTTTTTCAAAGACAGCAATCATCATCACCAGTTACCTTCAATATATAATCTACTTCTTGGAATTTATTATTTACCAGCTCATTGTTTAACTGATTGGTTACCATATGAATTATATAATTCATCGAATCCATTATTTCATTATGATCATTTTTCTGATATTTTACAATCTGTATCATTAAATGAAATTTATCAAATTATTAGACCTTGTACAACTAGTGATGTATATTCATTAGCTAAATTAATTCAATTTATGCTACCTACAATTCAACAAATTAAAGAGAATCCTGATATTTATTCATTTAATACACCTAATAATCTATTTGCATTGATTTATTCAGCATTAAAGATAAAACCAGATGAACGTATATCAATGAGACAATTCAATAGACTATTGATACACTTATATTGGGTAATTTTGTTTCTGAATGGATGTTTCATTACTACTATTTGAGTTGTATTATTAAGATATAAAATTAAAACTTGAAAGTTTTAAGTGCTTCTATGAACCTCATTGGGCCCTAAACCTTTAGCCCCCAAATGTCCTTGTATTGTCAAGGGTGTGTAGAGTTCACCCTCCCTCTCGAAATGCCCTCATATGGCCAAGCATATAAAGACACTGATAGAGAAGTCCTACTCGTTACTTTCTCACAGCAAGGGTGTTGTTTATGAAATTGAGAGGATAAAAAATGAATATTCGGCGCTATAACCGGGTTGGTGGATAGAGAGAATCCATCTATGGGAGTTGGGAAACCCTGACTCCAGACCAATGGTGCACATGGGCTCCAGTATCCTGAAGGAAGTGATACACATTTCCCTATCAACATTTTTACATAGTAATCTATCGGTTGTTGTTAAAATATTTAATTACTATGAATTACACATATACAACTTAAATAGATCTAAAAACCCCTTATTTATATTTACAGATTTAATGCACTGACAACCAACTGACCATTTCTCTGAAATGTTTGAATATTGATTGAATTCGTCACCTTGAAATATCTACATAAACTTTTGAGTTGTCAGTAGCAACTGAATGACAAAGTTTCCAAATTGCAAACATAAATATCATCGTCAACATTTTCAAAAGAATTTTAAATTTTATACAGAACAGGTATTACTCGGTAATAATATTGAAATGTTGAGTACTAGCTCATTTGAACTCCATGCAAATAGTTCCCTTTATTCTCTTAAAGGGAATAAGAACAAACAATGCAGTAGTCTAGTACACGTCAGTTGCTTACAGCCTGTAATATTTAGTGATCATAATTACAAAATGGGTGCAAACTACTTATATAAATAACTTTAGTTGGAAGTTGTTGTAATGACACATCAGTAGAGTATCGCGAAGATGTAAACAAATTCAATAGACTAAATAAAATATTACTCTCGCCCTTCCTGTTATGCTGGGTGATTGATTCGATTATAAAGACCTCTACATCTCAGAGGAAGCGCGGAATATAGTGGACAGCTTGGATGCAGCTAGACAATTTGGACCTCGCAAATGACCTATTTTTTCTATCCCATGAACAGTAAAAAATGCAAATGAAGACAGCCAGTGTAACAGCAGACTCGACATAAGGGAAAAAGCAAGATCCTCAAATGCAATACAGAAAGCTATGTCATTCAGTTGCTACTAACAACTCACAATTTTATGCAGATATTTCAAGATGACGAATTCAATCAATAGTCAAACATTTCAGAGAAGTGGTCGGTTGATTGTCAGTGCATTAAATCTGTAAATATAAATAAGTGGTTTTTAAATCTATTTAAGCTGTATATGTGTAATTCATAGTAATTAAACATTTTAACAACAACCGATAGACTACTCTGTATAAATGTTGATAGGGAAGTGTTTACCACATTGAAATGAACATGGTAACAATAATCTCAAAATGAAAAACAATAGAGCTCATAATATGTCAATCATGCATTAAGAACCTTGATGCTCTTGTCGATTAGTTTCATGGAATTTCTTACTATTCGAAGATTATTAATGTCTAATTTTAAATAAGAACATATTTGAAATAATTTAGAATATTTACAGTTTAAAATGAGGATTTTACTTCTGGTTTTAGTCTCTAAGCTGATTGATTTAATTGTTAAGCTTTTATTATCTATCTGAATGACATAATCAACACATATCTCAAATAGCTTATTTTTCTTTGATTCTACGTATTGATGACGTTATTCAGATGGAAAGTGAAAGCTTCACGACTGAATCAATAAACTAACCAACTTGTAAACCGCAATATCAACAAAGGCATATTCATTTCACTTAATTACGAACTACATTCTATGCATTTGTACTGAATAATTTTGTTATCAACTATTTCTTTATTTCCGTAATTAATAAATAAATCATAATAATGAGAGTTATTGTGTGGTCATACCAACCTATTCCATTCACATAGTTCATGTCATTAATTAAAAGCATGAAAGTCTATTGTACTGTTGCCTAAGGTGACAGTGTTAACACAATGATATCTTATGTTCACTGTTGTATTACATTTGTAATTATTGATGGTGATTAGATGAATAATTGGAAGGGGACAATAGAATGTTATCATTTCAATTTTGGATTTATTTTATAACATTTTCACAGGTAGTGTATACATACACACAAAATAATATATGACGGAAGGGTGATAAGGTGGTTCAAATAGCTAAAATCCATTATTGCATTATGTTAGTAAATGGCAGTATTAATACTGATATAATATGGTGACAATATCATTCATGTCAGTAGTTGTTGTAATGTTGAATTTACTTCCCTTACGTTACCTACTGAATATCGAGACAAGTTCGAAATAGTACAATATGTGCTGACCTAATTACCTACAACACGTTATAATAGCTCATAATATCATCATCTAGTTGACCTTTTACTTTTTTTATACATAAGTGTGGGATCAGTATGAGAAGGGGTTTTTGTGGAGATTGTAGTAATTTCAATAGTTGAGATCATGAGTCAGGTTTTCCATGGTGATCGAGCTTCAACTGACTAATGATCTAAACTATTGAAATATGTGTCATCAGATTGTTCGAAATGTATGGTGCTAATAGTTCTGATAATCTTCGTCTTCTTATTACACTATCGAAATTTATCAAAGGGATTAATTGCTTCAAATTAACAATATGAATTAATAAAGTTATTTTATATACGATAGTTGGAATCTGGGTGTGATATACTTCTGTTTGTGTTCTGTTTGCTTTGAAGTATGGAATATTTTCACTTATATATTATTGACGTAAATGAAATATTACGTTTGATTTATCATCATAGATATACTGTTAGTATTGACATCAGTAATAATAGGGAATGGTAAGCGCAATGACTGCAGGACTTCTATTGAATTCACTACATGTCTTATGCAGCAAATATTCATATTAAACCGTTCTGTTTGAAGAAAGAGCTAGTGAACAGGTTACTCGATGAATTGGTTGTTGACTATTTATTTCACCAGCTCACTTTTATCTAATCCACTTCATGGAACCACGGATTGTTGAATTGAACCATACTGTTAAGTTCAAACTACGTAGTTAGTGTTGGTGGGATAATTACGATCACTGGTTGAAGATATTGTGTTTTATGTGTCAGAATCGGTCACCATTGTGAAGATGAACTCATTATCTTTTGCTATGTCAGTCAGTGCTATTTCTATAATAGTTTATTCCCTCTTTTCTTAGCCTATTGTTCATTGTTTACTCTTTCTTACTATCAGTGAGACTATTATTATTTCAACTCTTTTGTTACATATCTTGATAATTTCATATCTCGTTGCTGATGCTACTTTGGCAGAAAAATTCACATCTTCAGCATGAATCATTTGAGTAAACAAAGTCGATTGTATAAAGAAAATTAATCATTCAGTGACTTCATCTATTCTACAATATAACTATGATTACAATTGCTTATTTTTACCTCTGTTACAGGTTGAACGTGATCGTGAAAAATCATCTCATGTTTCATTTCACAACATACCTCCATGTTCATTAAGACTTTGTAATCATAAATGGAAACCACGTTATTTTGAATCAATTCATCAATTTTATAATATAAATCATGAAGAATATCCTTTTTTAAGTAAAAGTATTTCTCCTATTCATTGTCAGGTATGTTGGTTTTTATGAATTAATGAATTAAGGGTTACATATTTTTCTCATAGTGAAAACAATCTGTAAATAGTCATGGATCTTTTTTCATACTTGTCGTTTGTTAATTAAGCTTAGATAAGGCTTTCTGATGTCATTATTTATTGTATTATAATGATCAATGAAGGCGAGGATCAGCAAAGAGGAGAGGATCGGCAAAGCAAGGGTCGCATTCCTACAATTGAAGAACATATGGAACTCAAAACAACTTTCAACCAATATCAAAGTAAGAATCTTCAATACGAACGTCAAGGCAATTCTACTGTATGGAGCTGAAACTTGGAGAACTACAACAACCACAATCAAGAAAGTACAAGTATTTATAAATAGCTGTCTTCGCAAGATACTCAACATCAATTGGCCGGATACCATCAGCAACAGCCTTCTGTGGGAGAGAACAAACCAACTTCCAGCTGAAGAAGAAATTAGAAGAAGACGATGGAAATGGATAGGACATACATTACGCAAATCGTCGAACTGTATCACGAGGCAAGCCCTAACTTGGAATCCTGAAGGGAAGCGAAAAAGAGGAAGGCCAAAGAACACATTGCGTCGGATAATAGAAGCAGATATGAAAACGATGAATTACAACTGGACGGAGCTAGAAAGAATTGCCCAGGACAGGGTTGGATGGAGAATGCTGGTGAGCGGCCTATGCTCCTTCACGAGGAGTCACAGGCGTAAGTAAGTAAGTAATGATCAATGAATGAGTAAGATGGCATTCAAATATGGTCTTCACTATAGACAACATAAATCACAGCAAAATCTTAGATTATATTTACATGATCAACATCTTGATAAAATGTATAAGCCATACTTAGAATTCTCAAACAAATCTAACATAAAGTTGTGATATGACTTCGGTTGATGGTGCCATGAAGTTGATGCTAGTACATATTACTCACTATATTTGTCATCATCTTACACAATTTAAGCATAAACCTGGCGTAATTAATTAATATTTTACAAACTGGTCAACTCGTATATTAAAATTGAGAAGACCGTTGGAAGCCGATAGTTACCATAATTCGGATTGTTTCTTACATCAAATATTTCATCATTATGTTGGTAACGATCAGATGTATACATTCAGAATGTACAGTAAACTAAATTGCTGAAATTGTGGACAAAGATTAAGAATATTAAGTGCACTGATACACTGCCATAATCCTTCTACTTTTGAACATCAGACATATTCACAAATAGATTAAGCTGTGTACAAATCGTCTTCTAGGAATAATCAATGGGATTAAAAGTACCCATTAGTATTCTGAATGTCGATGTAAGCTGAAGACTAAGCGTAGAACTAAAACACTCAAGGTCAATTTAAGCATTTAAAATTTTTGTTATATGGACTGGATGAGATCGTTTCTATGTTGTTCCGGAAGATTGTTGACTGGGTGAAGTCTATTAACCTGATTGTTCTAATTGGAAGACACTAGATATATCTGTGAATAAACTGTTATGATTACCCATACCGTTGTCATCAAATCATCCATCACCATACCACTGATAATTCGGCCATTTGTTGCCTGATTGAAGAATTCGATATGTTCTACTATCGTGTTTCACATCAGGAAAATTGTGAAATGATTTGGTATTATCATTTGACAAAAGCTGAGTATAACAGTTTCTTACAGAAACGGAATTTCATTGTATTTATAATCTGTTGGTTAAATAAATTTGATTAGTAGTTAAGAGAATAACAAAATATTCTCTTTATGAATTGTACATTTTGTTAGTTCCTTGTAGTTCTCCAATTCTTACAACTTAAATGAATAAGCTATTCACTTGAATGTTTACTACTTACCTCCTGTTTGTTATAATCTGTGTAAGAAAAATTGTCACTTTGAACTTAATGTTACAAGAAACTTTTGAAAGTCTAACAATCGTGAATCTTGTGTCAGTTAACATATACACTCGTGAATTATTTTGATATGCTCAAGAATTGTATTCGTGGTCGTTGTGCAGGTTATTAAAAAAAGTAGTAGTCCAATGTTCATTCATAATTTTCGCAAAGATAACTGTCAGATTGAATTAGTTTACCGATTACCTATAAACTTCATTCTTCTCTGATTATACGTGGCATCAGTGCTTGAAGTCACTAACTTCTAGTCTGATCCATGTTGGTAGATGCAGACTACTTGGTTGGGGTCCACGTGACTATTGTAACTATTGTAACTATTGGACACTCCGTGTGACATGACTCAGAATCGATCATAATGACGTCGGTGTATACACTGTCTGTCTTCCCTTAAACATTGAGATTAAAATCGTTTAATATCTTTCTCTCGATGAACTAATTATTTCTTCCTGTACTTTATCCTTATATAAAATCTTTCTTTTGTATATTACCACCTCTGAATTAACTACTTTTATGAATTTGGTGTCCATCTTGTTGTGTTAAAGTGGTATGGCAACTTGGACTGATGCATATATGTGCCTGGTCCTACTTTGTAGCTGACTGACTGACTGACCGATTATATATTTCATTTACCATTACTGTAATTTGACTGCTACCCTAGCAATGAAATTTTGTATACAATTTCTCATTACAATTAAGTTACTTAAAGGTTTTGTTTTGTTTTTAGAATGTGGAACTGACTATGTTCTCCACCGAAACAGTATGTTCACTTATAGAAAATCATTCATTTCAATATGTATTCAAGAATAGCTAGGCTTCATGAAATGTTGACGCTTACCAAAGTTTAACATTAGCAAATGGTCTATATTTAACTAAGTAATTCATGTAACCGAGAAAAAGGGTCTATCCAACCATATTAGACAGTTATTGTAATCCCTATAAAATAAAACACCATTATTTTAATATTTATGGATGATGAATTGAGATAGTAAACCACGGTGAATTTCATGTTTAGTGAGAGATATTTATATTTTCCTATGCTTCACTAAGAATCTCCCTAAGAAATTGATTAAAATTGTTTCATAGTATAAATAATCCTAATCATTGTCATACAGGGGGGGTTTCGAAAATCATTAAATTGCATAGATTCTATCATAGAATGATTTTGGTTAGGTAGCTATTAGAAAACTTCAAGGCATTGGATAATTGTTTTATTTTAGTAGGGGGTTTCGTTAGCAATGTCTATGCACGACTTTCTTACAGGGTTCGAACCTATGATTTAGAATAATCTTAATGAAGTATTGATATGACTTATTTTCAATTCATCTTTAATTTAATAACAATTAGTTCGAATCTACTTGATTAAGTTTTCACGTTATATATTTCTAGGTATTAAAGCATATGAATGTAATGCATTTAGTTCATTGTATTCATTTGAACTAGGTTTTATTTGATCATAAAATGTATCAACATTTCCTTTGTTTATACTAATCTATTTCATTTATATTAGTTATATTATTAATTGTCAACTATATCATAAAGCGTGAAAATCTATTATACTGTTGCCTAAGGTAACAAGATTAAACAGTAATATTGCATGTTTGTCATTGTGTTTCATAAATACTGACAAACATCAATAACAATTCAAAGTAGATTAGTGGTAAATGTCGAAGAAGGAAAACAGAACTTGTAATTAGTTTCAATAGAAATAATGTTTTGTTACATTTTTATAGATCATGTAGAAATTCATATGTGATTAGAAGTTAATAGATAATAGGTAGTAATTGTAGAAAGAGGTGTAAAGCGGTGTAATTTTTAAATTTTGTTGCTATCGTGATAGATTAGTGTACGTTGTCACTGTAATGATAAAAAAAGTAATCCGTTTTTAACATATAAGTATATTTCCTTACTTGACTCATTGTGCTTCATATATAATATCGAGTTAACCGTTATAGACTAAGGCATATTATTGAAGTCTGTTAATTATGATAACTAATAGTTATTTGTTTAAGTTAGGTATAAAACACATCAACACATTGGTGTTTCTGATCGGTGAAATAGTTTCACATCTATGTATATATATGTTTGGAATGATTGTTCTTGTCATTTGTAGACAACATGTTACTTCATCGCTGATACTACTACTAATAATAACAACGGTTATATGGAAATGCATCTTATCCAATATGAGTTGTTTTATTATTGATCTTAGTTGATTCTTGTGTTTGTAAGTGTCATAAGCGTTATTTTGCATATAAGTCGTTCAGATGGTGTTAGTTTCTATGGTAACCTCCTTCTATTTATGATATTCTTAGATGTCATCATTTCTTCTCAGTATTTACCACCTGTAGTAAATTGTTTAAATAAGTTATTTTTTGTGCTCACTCTTTGTATTGTGTTCAATAGGATGAACCTCACTTTCTCCCGGTGGATTTCCGTCACTCGCCGTAAGATTAAAACAGTATAAAGATAATAAATCGGAAACTACTCTCGAAAAGGATTTTGTAGTTAGCCTTAAGTTTATTCTTAGGCCATCAAAACCAACCCTAACCTAGTTTTCCTTCCCATGTCTTCCAATAAATAGTATCCTTCCACAATGTGTTCACTTCTTTTTGAGGTTATAATTGTGCACACAGTGACAATCATAGTACGATGTTTTTATGTTTGTCAACACTTATTACTCCTGCTAAATATATATTTGATTTATTTAAGTATTGATTGTATCTCTATTTACAATAACATCTTATAATTATGATCAAATGTTTTTCTTCACATTAGACAATGGGAGATGTTACTGACAGCGAAAAATACAGTATCAATTCGAAAACGAAGTTTTTTGGCTGTCTATCATCTAATAATTCAGATAGCCCTGAAATTGTCTCTGACTCCATTCAGTCGATAAATCGAAATGCTTTTCAGTTATCTACTTCAGATAGAAAAAAGTAAGTGACATTTGTACTTTTTCCTATGTACTAAATCCATTTAATTTTATCTACAGCTTTATGAGAACTATGGGAATGGTTAGTTGACCAAAATTTCAACTCAGTAATGAGTTAATTAATTATAGAAGTGAAATAATAAAATAATTTAACATTTTCAGTTGTTATACAAGCTTGTCTGATGGCTTTCTCAGTTTTATAAATATCACTCTAAATATTGATTAAGAAATCTTAATAATGATTAACTGAACATCTTTGATAATCATTAAGATTTGTATATAAACAGTAATACTCTGCGGTGGTTTAAACCAAAGTGGTCATCCCCATAACTTTCGACCTTAATATCTAATTCACAAGGGAACGCAAATAGTTGCTTATACTATTTTTTTCCCCTTAGTATCCGTATAACGACCGAACTGCCAATACTCGGTTTGAACGCAGAACTAACAAACAAAAATTTATTCGGTTAGGCCAGACTACTTTCTTCTGTATAGCTTACGAAGCATTTTTGAGTAATACATTATATCAAAACACAAACTCCGTACTCAATTTAAACGGTTCTAACTTAGGAAATAGAACAAATTATATAAAAAATACAAAATATTTCGAATGCTACAGTCTGTGCTATACAGTCAAAAGTTTCTCTAACACAAATTAGCGTGCTAAACAACAAAAGAAACAATTAATACAAAAGAGTTCAGTACCTGAGAATCAATAAAAATATTCCAAACAAGATGGGATCAGATATCTATCTGCAGGGATTCCAGCAATCTTCCCAAGTAGACAGTCAAAGGTTAATAGTCACATACTGAAACACGCCGTGACCTTGAGCTTAGTCAAACACGACCTTACTGTCAATAGACCGGCAACATGCAATAGAAAATTAGGTAACAAAAGGTAAGTTTTTAATCAAAATCACATAATAAAAGCTCAGACGAGTAAGACTGAAGGACACAAAGTGTGATCAGAAGAGATCTGAACAAACGTTAAAATGCACGACAGAGAGAAGAAACAAATAAATGACTGTACTGTCCGACAAATATGCTGTGGAGGGATAATCAGCGTTCATTTTCCGTTACAATCGGGGTGACAGTGTTTATCATTAGTTTGGAATCAGTAATCATTCTCCCTGTTCTTACGCTCTGTTCTTGCTTTCATCCTATAACATTTATATAAAAGATTCCGATTAATCGGAGGCAGTGGATAGGGCTTTCCAGTAGGAAGCTATAAACACACCCTGCCACTGCTTCATTGTAACAGGGAAAATGAGGATAACTTGTGCTATACATTGTGTGGGATTGTAAAGAAAGGATATATTACTCACGGTTCACGTCTTGGAAATATACTTACTAGAAATATATCTAGGAATTTATTTTATACACTATACGAATTTCATATTTGTTTTTATTTAGGCGTATATCTCAACCAGTTCTGAAGATTTGTAATCAATTAGGTAAGGGACAATATACTAAAAAACAGAAACGATCATGGCATAAAATATTTCCACATAAAAAACAAATAATTTCAACAAAACAGTCTCTCCACAGAGTACATATGATTGAATCCTCTTCGAATAAAAGATTATTAAACATAAATGATAAACAAGAGTCGTCAGTTACTTCATATTCAAGTGAATGCCGCTCAGATATTGTGCACAAGTGTTCACAATGTAAGCTGTTTTTTATGACTTATTGAAAATCATTATTACCTGAAAAATGACATCATTTATTTGTATAAATCTAAACGGATCTGTAAGATAATAGTTAAATACTTACCCTCCAGTCAATCATTTCTCTGTCCGAAACCAATCTTAATTGAATTATAGTAACTTTACTTTTACTTACTTACGCCGCAGACCAGCTTTCTCCAACCCATTACGTCCTGGACCTTCTTTTCTAGTTCCATTCAATTCTTGTCCATTTTTCTCATGTCTATCTCCATTTCCCGGCGTAATGTGTTCTTTAGTCTTCCTCTCCTTCTTTGACCTTGACGATTCCATGTGAGGGCTTGTCTTGTGACACAGTTGTGTTCCTTCCTCAATATGTGTCCTATCCACTTCCAGCGATTCTTCCTGATTTTTTCCTCCGCTGGAATCTGATTTGTTCTTTCCCACAGTTGATTGTTAATAGTGTCCGGCCAACAGATCCGAAGTGTTTTGCATAGACAACTGTTAACAAACACCTGTATCTTCTGGATGATGGCTTTCGTAGTTCTCCAGGTTTCTGCCACATACAGTAGAACTGTCTTGACATTTGTATTGAAAATCCTGATCGTGATGTTGGTTGATAGTTGTTTTGAGTTTCAGATGTCCTTCAGTTGTAAATATACTGCTTTTGCTTTACCGATTCGCGCTTTCACATCTGCATCATATCCACCTTGTTAATCAATGATGCTGCCCAAATATGTAAATGTTTTTACATCTTCCAAATCTACTTAATATTACTGTCTCTTATACTAAAAGTGATCCTCAATACCAAGTATATTAATATATACCTTATCGAACAATTTGTTTTATTTATTATTTCGGGAAAATATCCGAAATCATTTTTAGTTGATCAAACACTCATTTAAAGCTTCTCAGAAAAAAGATCTAGGGCAAGATTCATCTGACTAATCAAGTATCAAGTTTGTTACCTATTCTAGTATTTATATAAAGACCTTAAAAATGAACTTCCTTTCATATTTTCCTCTTCTGGTTTTGATAGAAGATTAAGTCGACGGTTGTGATATTCAAAATGTCTTCTGTGAATTCAAAATCTGAAGTTTTCAGTGGATAAGTCGTAGCAGTCATGAATCGTATGATCCACTAATTATCTTTCATATCCATTGATTTGTCATTAGTGATTTTACTAAACTATGACTTTGATAATGTCCACTATCACCAATGACTTGATGAGTATTCGTTTATTAGTCGATGGTCAATATGAAGTTGATGATATTTTCATATTTGCTATATTTTCCTGTGCTAGATTAGGGTAATGTATCGAATAACGTGCAGATAAACTACTAAAACCCTTTTAATTTTACCAAGGGAAGTTGTGTAACTGACTTCATACAACATATATTGTAAAAGATTATACTAAATTTTCAGGCTGTAAAGTGTAGGAAATAGCCTCCACTGATGTTATGTAAATTTAAAAATAACAACTAAATAGTATCATATATTCGGTTATCACTTTGAAGTGACGTCTACTTTGATAAGTTAACGCATGAAGAGTAATCTCAGTAACATTTTCAGTCATATTGCGATGTGCTATTGATATTGACATAAGTAGTATATGATGTTAGTCGTGAACAAAAGGTCTGGCAGCAGAGAAACAAGAGGATCGAACAGTAAAGAATGGAAACAGAATACAATTTGTATGAAAATGCAAGAACAGAGAAGTCTGAGTCATTATGAGAAAATTGATGGACATTTTGCAAATTACGTATTTACTATTTGATTGTTTAAATTTTATTAACAAGTCCTGTAATTTTGTGTTCAGTACATTCGGTTGTTCCCACCCGTGTTCTGTTCACTACGTTTGGTGTCGCTGCCAACAAGGAGGGGAGAGGTGCTGTTCTGCGGACACTGTTGCGGGCCTGGAGCTGAGGTGCTAGTTGGAGTAGTCTGGTTTGCAGGGGTGGCGTCGAGTGGAGTGTTCTGGCGAAGCGGTATAGGCTGTTGCAGGTGCTGTTGATGGAGAGGAGCGGTGGGACTTACGGCTGCTGGGAGGATATCACATGTAGATGGCTCAGCAGACCGGTGGAGCACGGGTGTTAAGCGTCTCAGGTGCCGGGTGGATGTCGGATGTCCCCACTTGTGTTCTTGTGCACTACAATATCTATTTCAAGATATTGAAATTGGCATTCAAATATTAAGCACATCTAAGTCATATTTTTATTGATTACTGTATTATCAGGATGGTTGGTGTTGATGAGTTGTATTGATCACAAATTATAGATCTACTAGATCTACTAACTATAAAAGCTAAATCCAATGATTAATACATTTTTCATTAACTTTGAATAGGAAATTTTTCCGTTACTAACTTGTTTTATTATATTTACAATTTGTTTCGAATGTCTTTATTTTAGTAACTGATAATTCGAAAGAAAATGAAAAAATCCCTTCAGGATTTCATCCTTCTTTTACAGATTGGCTTAAACGTCGAAAATGTAAATTGTCAATTGATAATAGTCTATTACCAGATATGAATATAAAATTTAACTGTGAGACTGGTTCAACTCCAGTATCTAGAACTGAAGAAATACTGAGTAAACCATCTAATCTTTCAAAAAATAATTCAAATTATAAAGTTCCCAATTTATTTACGCGTTTTCGATTAACAAAATCTGATTATGTTCATTTGTCTGCTGTACCTTTATTACCGGAAGGTGTTGAAGTAAATCCTAATTTGGTTTCACGAAAAGATTTATTGTCATGTCAAACACCACTTTCTTATTCCTCATTTAATAGTCCCCCGATTCCTTTAACCTCATTATCAAATAATTCAAATTCAGTTATTACTTATCAAGAGATTTCTGTAAATAATTTATCCGAAAAGATTCTCAATATCTTCAGTCCTCGTTTAAACAAGTCGTCAAATTTCAAGTAAGTATGAAATACATAGTAATTTCACAATTGATTGATCACTGGGTGGTGATCAATGTCATGCTTGTCTAGTCCTTATTAGTGCAGATCGAATGCTATCGATCATGTTGCAATGTGGCCACCAGTCTAGGTGACTCGACATTGCGGGCACTATGTATTGAGATTTAGATGGTGGTTGGAGGTAGTCAACAGGGAAACCTGGACCCGGGTTTCGTGCTACTTAGCTGAGTGATAACGTCTCTGACTGTGAAGCTGGGTGACACGAGATCGAATCCGCCAGGGAGCACCAGTTCCCTCAAGATTACAGGTACACCTTGCTGACGAGTGCCGAGTAGCACGAAACCCGGGTCCAGGGTTTCCTGTTGACTACCTCCAACCACCATCTAAAACATAGTAATTTCATTAAAACAAGCGTGAAATTCACCAGGTATTAGTGACTAATATGATATGTTCACTTGCAGTATTTCATTTTTCGTCTCTCTATCTGTTGTTGTACTTCGTAAAATCGTTTCCTAGAAGGTAAAAGCAACTAGAAAAAATGTTAAGATGTTGGGGAAAATTCATAGCTAGGAGTGAAGATTCTGATCTAGTAGCGTTCCTTGAGTTAGTTGTTTGAATCATACACAATGATTGGTTTGTTAGTTGATCTAAATCTAAAACTTCCTAACCAAGTACATATTACTGTGCTCAGCATAAAATCACACTGTAACTATACTTATATTACTATTCGGAATGATCAGATTTAAATAAATAGAGTGAGATTGTAAAAAGTGCGACTCACTAACTCAACGTTTGGTGATGTAACCACTGAATGGTCGTCTAATTTTATATATCGAGTAAATCGTCTTCATTAAGGAATATGCTAGCAAAAATAAGAATATGGATAAACTATTTTCACATAATTCATCCAGAGTTTATAAAATGCATCATTAAGTTCACTTACTGACTATCATTCGTGGAGTGGTTGATGTTAGACACTATCACCATTGGATGACGGCTCAGTGGTCCAGTAGGTTAGGCGTTCGCACGTGAGACCGAAGGCCCTGGGTTCGAATCCCGTGGGTGGGATCGTGGATGCGCACTGCTGAGGAGTCCTACAGTAGGACGAAACAGCCGTCCAGTGCTTCCAAGTTTCCAAAGGTGGTCTGACATCAATCGGTTCATGGTCTCAATAAAAAAATATCATCAGTGTTTTGTGCATCAAGCAGATTCATCTTGATGTCTCTGTTGATTAACTTCTTTGAGACTCGATTTTATTCAGTGTTATCTAGGAGGAACAGCTTACTATTTTTACTACACTGTCCGCATATATACGCACTGTTAGGGAAGTCCTACTAACTGCCTTCTCACAGCAAAGGTGTTGTCTACAAAACTGAGAGGACTGTAGCGGTAAATAAATCCCCAAAATAAATAGCCCTAAGTTTTCGACATTGGATGCTGACCATATGTTTTAGTGGACTCATCTAGCTGAAGGCGCTCGGTCATGCATCCGCACCAGATCACGTGTGGTAACGCTGTGCTCAACATCAACCGCAATCGCTAGCCAGATTAGATCAGAAAATTCCGATATATTGGTTATCGCCAAATATACTCTTCCGATCTCCTCGACTCGATCTTTTGATTTCTCTGGGTGGGAACGAAATATATTAGAAGGTGTTACTCGTAGAAGCGTTGTCAAACACTGAATACCTGTGACATCATCATTGGTGAGCCCGACGATTGGCGTCCAACTGGTGACTATCGGCGATTGAACGCGAAAACCATTCCCGATCGTTACCCGTTGCCTCACATTCACGATTTGACAGCTACCTTGAAAGGTACAACTGTCTTTTCGAAAATCGACTTGGTTAAAGCGTATAACCAAATACCTATGGCTACTGACGACATTCCGAAAACAGCTATCATAACTCCCTTCGGACTCTATGAATTTTTGCGAATGCCTTTCGGTCTACGAAATGCTGCTCAAACATTCCAAAGATTCATAGACGACGTTTTCCGAGGTCTCAACTTCGTACATGCATATGTTGACGACTGTCTAATCGCAAGTCCGAACAGAGAAACACATCTCAAGCATCTGGATCTTGTTTTCGACCGACTACAAAAACATGGCATAACTGTAAAAGTTCAGAAATGACAATTCGGAACCGACTCTTTAGACTTCCTAGGACACACTATCGATGCTCAAGGCATTCGACCTCTTAGAACCAAAGTGGCGGCCATTCTGGATTACCCAGAACCGACCACCGTCAAGCAATTACGCACGTTTAACGGCCTCGTAAGTTTCTATAGACGTTTCATACCGAAATGCGCATTACTCATGAAACCCCTGACCGACCAACTTCGTGGAAATGCGAAATCCATTAATTTGGACGACAACGCACGAAAAGCATTCTCCACAGTTAAGGAACTGATTGTCAAAGCAACAATGCTCGCACATCAGGACACCGAAGCACCCATTAGTATCGCAGTAGACGCATCCGACTCGGCAATCGGAGGAGTCTTACAACAATGGGTTAACAACTCATGGCAACCCTTAGCATTATTCTCTAGACGGTTGCCAGACACCGAATCGAGGTACAGCACATTCGGTAGAGAACTCTTAGCTATGTATTGTGCTGTAAGACATTTTCAACACTACATCGAAGACCGTGAATTCACTCTTCTCACGGACCATAAACCGCTCACTTTCTCGTTAAGCTCTCCTCCAAACAAGTACTCTCCCCGTGAGTCTCGACAACTGGACTACATTTCGCAGTTCACTTCAGACATTCAACACATCTCTGGAGCAAACAATGTATTTGCAGACGCCTTATCTCGCATAACCTCCTTGAACAGTTTCCAAGGAATCGACCTTCTTAAACTCGCCGAGCTTCAAAAAGAAGACACTGATCTTCAGCACGAGTTATCGTCCACAACCCTTAAACTACGCATCAAACATATGGGAACAGGTAAGGAAACCTTACTTTGTGACACATCTACAGGTAGGGATCGCCCAATCGTGCCGAAACATTATCGACGCAATGTTTTCAATACATTGCACAAACTTTCTCATCCAGGTGTTCGTGCAACCATCAAGCTTATAGCAGAACGGTTTTGCTGGCCTGGTATGAATAAAGACGTGAGGGAGTGGGCACGCTCCTGTGTAAGCTGCCAAAAATCTAAGGTTATCAGACACAATAAATGTCCTTTAGGCTCATTTAAAACTCCCGATGCTCGTTTCGACCATGTTCATCTGGATTTGGTAGGACCGTTACCAGATTCAAATGGATACTCTTACCTCTTAACCTGCGTAGACCGTTTCACTCGATGGCCAGAAGCAGTACCTATTAAGGACATCACTGCTGAAACAGTGGCTCGCACCTTCGTCGGGCGATGGGTAGCAAACTTCGGTTGCCCTTCAACCATCACTACAGATCGCGGACGTCAGTTTTTTTCCAGGACGGCTGGAAAAGAACGATGCAGTTTACGTGGAGTCGAAATTTTCGTTGTAACTTTTTCTTTTTTTATACTATGTTGTACCTCGGTCCCATATAGTAAGGAAAGACGACCAGACGCTGCTACACTTAGTAAGCTATCAGAAGAGTGTTTACCAACGACAAACTCGTTGGGTTTAAACTTCTGGCTGGCCACGTCTTAGAGTCGTCACTGCCTCACTAGGGGGGGAGTGATCTGTAGCGGTAAATAAATCCCCAAAATAAATAGCCCTAAGTTTTCGACATTGGATGCTGACCATATGTTTTAGTGGACTCATCTAGCTGAAGGCGCTCGGTCATGCATCCGCACCAGATCACGTGTGGTAACGCTGTGCTCAACATCAACCGCAATCGCTAGCCAGATTAGATCAGAAAATTCCGATATATTGGTTATCGCCAAATATACTCTTCCGATCTCCTCGACTCGATCTTTTGATTTCTCTGGGTGGGAACGAAATATATTAGAAGGTGTTACTCGTAGAAGCGTTGTCAAACACTGAATACCTGTGACATCATCAGGACGATAAGTGAATGTTCGGAACTGCAGCCCGGTTAGTGTATATGAAGAATCCATCTAAGGCAGTTGGAAAACCCTGATTCCAAACTAATGATGCACATGAGCTCTATGTTCCTGAAGGAATAATTGGTATGTGAGTCTTGTTGGGCACCAATTATTTTAGGACTGGATCTCCTAACATTGTCTTGAGTGTTAAAGCTGTAGGTCAAAGGCTTGGAAAGTGGCCTCCTAAGAATGCCACTTGCGTCTGACTGGGCACCTAGGGTTATCCCAACGGACACACAAATCCTATGATAGCTATTTTGTGTGGCGCATACGTATCCAAAAATATTTCAGTTTTTATACTGAGAAAGTTCCGTCTATTACAAACCGACACACTCCGTTATGTTTTAGGTAGAAGACAATGATTATAAATCATCTTGATCGTTTGTTTGAAAATGTTATTTATTCTGACGATGACCTTCACTATAAACTAAGTTTTTTTGCTCACTTTATTTCTTAGCTACTCTCCTGAGTATGTTCATTTTGTTCCATTCTTTTAGATCCGATGTTATTACACCAATGAAACCAGCTTCTCACCTCACACAATTATTATCTAGTTCCATTGATAACCCAAATGTTTCTGGCAGAATTGATTTGATACGTACATCTAGTTTACTCGCTCGTAGGCAACAATACATAACGCGAATGAAAAATCAAAAAGATTTAAACTTATCTTTACCAGTCTGTGATTTGACAAGTTCCAAGTGTCAACAAAATCAATTCTCTAAGATATCATATAATCAATCTGTTTTGAAAAATCAACGAGTGAATAGCTTGCCTATTGTAAAGAACTATCCAATACATTCTGACAATCATAATAGATCAATACAACTATCATTTCGATCTGATAAACATACAAAGTCATTAGATCATTCTAACCGTCCAATGAATTCTTCTAAGGATGAAGAACCGTTAAGGAGTTCAAATAGAAATTGTGTTGAAAATTTGGTAAGCTCAGTGTCTCCGTATCGAGGAAATATTTTCAATCCGAAGATAATTTGAATTTAGTTAGCGAGATATGACAATTCAGATCGATTGGAATCCATGATTTATTTTTATCAGAGACTCCTGATCCTGTGTGTTATGACTCTATGCTTTTCTGTTTCTGTAGACCTCTGTAAGTTGGAAAAATATTTGAAGAAAATCAGTGCCATTTATTTCAATTTAGTGGATGGATGTGTGGCTCAATTTCGCGGATTGAATTAAGACATTTACACCGTCGGATGCCGGCCTGCTCAGTGGTCTAGAGGTTAAGCGTTAGCATACGAGACCGATAGGTCTTGGATTCGAATCACGCGGGGCGAGATGCGCACTGTTGAAGAGTCCCAAAATAGAACAAAACGGCCATCCAGTGCTTCCACGTTTTCCACGGTGGTCTAGCTTCAATTGACTCATGATCTCAACTGTTAAATGGAAAATTGTTTAAATATTTTGTTTACTTACTAGCACCAAATAAGTAGTCTAACGTATCTAATAAAATATTCATGCATTGTGGAATGAATACCAAGTACTCAAGATTATTTTCGATTGAGCAAAGTTCTTGCCCTAATGATATACTTTTACTCTAAGTATGAATAAAGTGAAGTTTTCTAACAGTTGAGGATGAACTTAGTCAAAACTACCTCATGTTTATCCTGTGTATGTCATTTACCCCATGATATGGTTAAGCTCCATACTTAACTGTTTCACATTTGAGTGGCTATTGTGGATGTCAGTAGATCAGTCCGGTTTGGTATACGATGTCTATCACTATGATCGCAGGATAAATTTTTAATTAGTGATCATTTTTTAGACGGCAGTTATCACTCCTAATGGGAATGTTTATTTAATCGTAGTGGAGAGCAATTCAATTGAGTCGCTCACTAATTCTGTTTACTTGGTTGTTATTTGTTGAGTACTAGTTATTTCATTGTTTTATCAATTACATATCTTTGTATCCACTCAGTTACAAGATATGATCAATAGAATTTGTGGACAGAATTACAACCTGTCGAATAGGGTTAGTGACTCTACATCACAACATCTAAAAAAATATAAACACAAATAGGGCAAAGAAATGTTTCTTCCCAATTATTTGAAATCAGTTGTATAAAATTTCATTTTCACTCAATGTTCGAATGGGAATTATTATTTCAGTGTAAAATACGAAGTACACTATCATCTGATATCTTTGATGGCATGATAAAATTGTTGGGGACACCTAGAGTATTCCTTAAACAAAGCCTAGAGGGACCTCGAAAACGTTGAAAAACATTTTATCCAATGAACATTGAATAGTAGTCTCTCAGGAATATTTAGGAAACGAAAAGTCACGTATCATATTTCTGATTGTCTGATTAGCTACTCTGCTACCATGTTTAGTAGGGTCCAGAACCTTCCATAAGCTCAAGACCATCTGAGATGTCAAAAATACCCTCGATTTTTTATATATAAGCGTTCTTTTTTCACAATTCGCACTTTTTCTGTCGTGTTTATTTACCCTAGGTTTATTTAAAAGAACTTAGGAAATTGATTCGAGTGTTCAATGAGATTTATTAAAATTTAGTAAATTTGCTCGATTCATCTGGTTATTTAGTCCAAAAAAGAATAGATTGATTAGTTTATTATTATCAGAAGGGCTTTTATGGATATTTTAGAAATTTCAATTGTTGAAATCATGAGTCAATTGAAGCTAGACCACCATGGAAAACCTGGAAGCACTGGACAGCCATTTCATCCTAGTATGGGACTCCTCAGCAGTGCGCATCCACGATCCCGCCCCCCGCGAGATTCGAACCCAGGACCTATCGGTCTCGCGCTTTGTTGAAAAGTCCTATACTAGGATGAAACAGCCATTCAGTGCTTCGAGATTTTCCATGGTGGTCTAGCTTCAATTGACTCATGATTTCAACTAGTTTAGTATTATTCCTAATGTATATAAATTTGAAAATTGGTAATTTATTCACCTTCATTGGTAGAGAAAATATTGATCGTTTAAGAAGAAGATACTTGTAATGCTCACTTCTTGAACCATTTCGAGACTCATCACTTTCTACGAATTTTCAATGTTAAAATGATCATTAGGGTAAAAATATATTTTTAGAAATGATTATTTCTACACATCAGACAAAGAACCTTTCATATATGATTTATACATTTGACAGATCATATTAAAGTTAATTAATGAAGTGCTCTCATAATATACTCATATTAATCCTTTTAATTAGATTGTAAAGTAAAACAATAATCAACATTCACTTGCTATTGTTTTACTTGAATCTTTCAAATAAGGTTTATGATTGCAAGTGATCAGCTTGCGGGTTGAATTGAATTCATTCAATTTTGTGTATGTTTTAGTTCTTCAAAATACTCTCCTTCTTATTTGTAATGATATATAAAATGTTTTACAATATATATATATTACACATATGATTACATCATAAGGGGCGGCCAAACCAAAACTTGACATCAGTGCTTGAAGTCACTAACTTTTGGTTTGAGCCATGTTGGTAGATGCAGACTACTTGATTGGGGTCCGCGTGACTATCGTAGTCATTGGTTGGAGAATCTGTGTGATATGGCTCAGAATGGATCACAATGGCGTCTGCGTATACACTCTTTATCTTCCCTTACACAGTGAGAATAAAATTCCTTAATATCTTTGTTTCTACGAACCAACTGTTTCTTCCTGTACTATATCCGTATATGCCATCTTTCTTTTATATATTACCACTATTGAATTAACTACTATGAATTTTTTGTTCGTCTTGTTATGCTAATGAGGTATGGCAGCTTGAACCGATACATCTATGTGCCCGATCCTACGTTGTAGCTAACTGACTGATTACAGCATAAATCATTTTAATTACTGTTACAAATCAAAGGATTGGAAGACAAAAAGGGTAAAATGAGCTTAATTCATTCCATATTGTTTCTTGTTCCTACTTACAAAACATTTTTAGTAACTCCACTTTAAATAAGCATGAGAAATGATATTTTTCAAAAGCTAGTATGCACTTTAGTAGAATTACCGTTGAAAATTTGATAGGTATAACCTACAATTCCCTCGATATGAAAAGGAAACAACAAATGAAGAAGATAAAGTAAGAGGTGACATATTATTAGTGTTATTATTATTTGAACACATAAATATTGGTATAAAGGAGCCTCCAGTAAATATGCGCCACACAAATTACTGGATTTGTGTGTAGGCTGTGATACTACCTGGGTGCCCAAACCGAACTAGGTGGTTTTCTTAGGGGACCACGCCCGGATTAGTCGACCGAAATGCCTGATCCACGAGGCAATGGAACAACCTTAGGAGACCCAGTCCCATGGTAGCTGGTGACCAATAATTGTTTTATACACCATTTGTTCCTTCGAGATACTGGAGCCCATGTTCACCATTGGTTTGGAAACAGTGTTTCCCAACTCTCCTAGGTGGATCTTCAGTACCCAACGACCCGGTTAAGTCTCCGAACATTCGCTTTTCGTCCTCTCAATTTCGCAAACAAAATCCCTGTCGTCAGAATTTAGTGAGTAAAACTTCCCTGACTGTGGCTGTGTACGCATGGCCACGTGAGGACATTTTGAGAGAGAGAGCTGACTCTCCCCACTCTCAGGCATTTGGGGGCGATGACATTATAACCAATCATTTGTATAACTTTTAACTTTTTGAAATCAGATAACACATTTTCCCCCCGGATAACACTTTTTCTCTATCTGAACACTTCAACTAAGTATTTATTGACGAATACTCATTGTATTAGCATTGCTAGATAAATTACTCATTATTAAAATATCGAAATAAGTAGATCAAATTGAATTGTACATATTTAAATAGTTGTTGATTTCATAATATTTTTAATCTGATTCAAAGAGTAAATTGTTTCATTAGTTAATCTATTATTTTTAGCTCACTTAATTTTAGGGTCTGAAATGCTTTTTAAATGTTATCGCCACTATTAAATAGTTGATTACAGTTTCTAGTCAGTTTTTAGTTGACACGTGGAATAGCTGCCTTGAACCGTTTGGTTGAAAACAGAGATTAATAGTAGTTCTTTTCTTTGATACCTGTTTCTAAAAATATTTTCATACTCACAGAACATTTTATTATAAGTACGAATGATTGAGGGCCTCTTGAGGACAACCTCGGATCAGCCTACGATCAAATAAAGTAAACATAAATATTGATTCATCACCTCAATCAGTGGCCACACTACAATTACCATTTAACTAAAAACTAGAATTAGAAAAAGATGACTTTTCTTATTATCCAAGGATTACATCCTTGTTCCATAGAACATTAGTCATGTCGAAAAAATCTCAGTGATGATATCTAGGAGTGTGACATCAGATAAAGCTGGTTCCGTAAGTGCGAACTATCACTAAACTAAAGTCAAGTAAGGTTTGCTATCGATTGCTCTTAGGTAGAGTTTTGTTAGTATCATTTGTGAGTTTATTCATTTTTCATGATTAACCTGCATAATAGGACAGTTAAACATGATTACAACATTACATTCTACATCTATCCTAATCATAATATTATGTTTTTACTTTGTTTTTAGTCCTTTAGTGATTATATTTTAGTTCAAAATAATGAAAAGTATCAATCATGTCAAAAAACTAGTCCTTTACTACAAGAAACAATCAATTCAGGATATTCCCAATCAAAATGCATTGATCATGTAGTAATGAGACAAGCCTTAGTTTCTCAAAGTTGTGAAAATCATCATTTAATAGAACATGAACCAAAACTTGAAAATATTTTGTCGATCTCTAACGAATCCATCGGTATACAATGTTCTATTGAAGAATTGCACTGTGATGCAAGTTTACAAACTGAGATAAGTAATCCACAAAATCCAGATCTCAGGTAATCTATTTAATCCAAATATACACAAATATCTATTTCTTTTAAATATTCATCCATCTATTTTTAGCTCCGTCCATAGTACACTTAATAATATTGTTTATATAGAATTTACCAATGTCTCGTTTAACTAATCTGTACAAGATTAAAACTGATGCAACTTTATCCGGACAATTAGTTCTTTAATATCAGAAGGGGTCTTGTGGATATTATAGTAATTTCAATGGTTGAGATCATCAGTCAGTTCGAATCTCACGGGGGGGCTGGATCGTGGATGCTCACTACTGAGGAGTCCCACAATAGGACGAAACGGCTGTCCTGTGCTTCGAGGTTTTCCATAGTAGTCTAGCTTCAACTGACTCATGATTTCAACCATTGAAATTAGTTCTTTATCGAATTCATTATGAAGTTAAGGATTAACTCTAGAAAAATTTCAATTCATCTAAACTTATAAAGTTCATGTAATCATCGTGTTAATAGGTGCAAACTACCTGATTGAGATTTATATGGCAACCTCGGTTAATGGACTAATTGACAGTGTAATTAATCTTACCATTGATGATTCATGTCATTAAAAACCAATATCATATCATATTGAAATTCGTTTTGACATTTTACAATTTGGTTTAGTTTTAAGAGAATAATCCCTTTTTTACACAAATCAATTACAAAGATGCAACCAATCATATGTTTACTAATACTTAGAGCTTATTGAATTCTGTCAATGAATTTGTAATATCATCAACAGATTCGATGACATGACATTGAAATATACTTTATTTTTATGTTTAGTGGTCAACATGAAAAGTTTGATCTGGATCCATGTTATTCTGTATTTATCATTTAAGTTCATCTTTATCTTTGAAAAGATTGATGATTTCTATGGTATTCAACCCAACGTCTTTACCGATACTACAATTATTATATTTATTTTTAGGTACATCTGTGATCTGAGTAAACTTATGAACACTACCCTTATGGAAAATTTACTTCCCTTGTACGGTGTGTGTGTGTGTATGGGGAATGCAAACAGGTGATAATTTTCTCCTGCTTTGTGATGTATCTTTATAACTGACAGAGAAATCTACAGTTCCTCATTTTTGTGAGAAAACAAGTATGGGTCTTATAAGATCAAAATAATGAGTAGCGTTGTAGTTACTGAAGTAAGGCTGATAATTTGCTACTAGGTCACAATTGATGAAAATATTTATCACAAATATTGTGCCTATATCTAATTGTTAATTTATTTTATTAGAATTTCGGAGCCAGATAGAGTTATGGAGAATCAACAATCATTGTCTGTTTATAACACTATTTTATCAAATGCTGAAATGGAGCAAATGCCGCCAGATACTTTTTTCAGTTTGCCACGTTCACCTTCTTCTGTCAGTTTATGTACGTTAAAAGCAGTGATATTAGTATTAATAAAATGATATTATTCTTTATTTCTTTAAATGTTATATTTTCCTCTCATATTGTATGTTTCCCACTCATATTAAACTAAGAGGTGAAACAGTGGATAATGTATTAACATCTCATAATGGACTACCTTCTGGTAGGTAACCATACCAATGGGTACCAATGATCCTCTAGGTATCGGACACAGCAACATCAGGACAGCAAAGAGCTTATTAACTTTATTGGTACACATCTCCATGTTAATTCGTTTTCTACCAAACAAACAACCAATTTGGATTGTTATATGTTTTAAATATATTCTGTTTTTTATGCTGTTATTTCATACAGTAGTTGGTATTTTATTGAATATCTTTTGCAACTAACGATTTACCTAGTTTTACTGGTTATTATATAGCTTTATAGGATTACAGTTTATATAAACTGTGTTATCATGACATAACAATTTACATTTAGATATTTAGGTTTATGATGTCTAAATAACATTTAAATTTCTCAAGAGCTTGAGCCAATCTGTAGTGTCAAGTACATTATTCAGTAATCTCCACCATGTTGACAATAACCATGTACTCACTAGCCACTTATTTCCAGAGTTCTTTTGAAAAGTTGAAACTAGTACAGCTCTGTTTTGTTATATGCAATGCACATAAAAACCAATAGCGTTGAAAATTGGTTGCGTGATAACGGGAATTAATTAGTGTTGGACTAACTACCAATTGAATCCCGTATTAGTAGCCTAAAATTAAAGTGTATGGAGAGAAACCTTAAGGTTCTCAGTAGAATAGCGTTTGCATACTGCAAACCAGTTTCATATTAGGACTTTATATTTGTCCAATGCTTCCTGGTCTTCATTGGCCATCCAATCAAGATCGATCTGAGTTATGATAATCAATAATCTAACTAACCTCCCTTTATTATCAGAATGGGTTTTGTGGAGATTTTTAGAAATTTCACAAGTTGAAATCATGAGTCCCCGCGAGGTGCGGGGTCGTGGATGCGCACTGCTGAGGAGTCCCATACCAGGACGAAACGGCCGTCCAGTGTTTCCAGGTTTTCTATGGTGGTCTAGCTTCAATTGACTCATGATTTCAACTTGTGTAACCCCCCTTTATAAGCAATAGATATCAACCAATTCTCTCTGTGTGTGTATGTATATGATAATAACCAATATCCAGTTTTTATAATGCTATGATTCAACATTGTTTACTGATATTCAACAATTAGAATTTCTAACTAGTATAGTATTACTTTAAAGACTAATTATTTCCAAATGTAATTTATCATCTACTTATATTCACGGTAGAATGATTAAATCTAATGACGAATGGGATAATCCTTCCATTCTGATTGATTAGTAATTAAGTAAGATTGACAAGTTTATATGATCTCATATTAAGTTGAATATCTCATTCAAATGTAACATAATATACTTGAAATGTGAAAACATTAGTGAAGTAGACTATATAGCTAGCTGGATAATAAGTATAAATTGATTTTGTTTTAAGTATATAGGTAGAAAATGATCAGACTGAAAATATAGACTTAAGGATAAGAATGACTGAATTCTAGTTATTTATGTTGAAGATTCATCTAGGCTTGAATTGCCATACCAAATCTTAATTACTTACTTATGCCCGTTACTCCTGGTGGGGAAGTATAGGCCGCCCACTAGCACTCTCCATCCAACCCTAGCCTGGGTAATCTTTTCGAGCTCATTCCAGTTGTTATTCGTTCTTTTCATGTCTGCTTCCAATTCTCAATACTTTGGTATTCCTCTTTTTTGCTTCCATTCACGATTCCAAGTTAAGGCTTGCCTCGTGATGCAGTTTGGTGATTTCCTCAATGTATGTCTTATCCACCTCCAGCGTGTTTTCTTAATTTCCTCTTCAACTGTAAGCTGTTTGTCCTCTCCCAAAGAAGACTGATGGTATCCGGCCAATGGGTGTTGAATATCTTGCGTAGACAATTATTTATAAATATTTGTACCTTCTTGATGATGGTTGTAGTAGTTCTGCAAGTTTCAGCTCCGCACAGTGTGACTGTCTTGACGTTCGTATTGAAGATTGTGGCTTTGGTATTGGTTGACAGTTGTTTTGAGTTCCATATGTTCTTCAACTGTAAGAATGCTGCTCTTGCTTTGCCATTCCTCGCCTTTACGTCTGCATCAGATCCTCCTTTCTCATCGATTATGCTTCCTAGGTATGTGAACGTTTCCATCAACCGTGACTGAATTGGTGCTCTCCGTGTTGTATTTTAGGATCTTGGTTTTCCCCTATTGATGCAGAGGATGCTGTTAAACGAGTTGTCCTCATCTGCATTTGTTCCTATGTATGGAATAAGAGGGATAGATCATCTGCGAAGTACAAACCGTCTAATTGGTTTTGATCTGTCCATTGTATTCCGTGTTCCCACATCCGAACAACATTAAATTAGCGAGTTAAATTAAAAGTTTATTTAAATAATGATCACAAGATCGATAGTGTGAATGACTTAATATTGAGAATATGTTTACAGAAGATGGAATGATGAAGTATTTATAGTGAAATATTAAAAAAAACGACGGATCTGGAAGAAAATAAACAGTGAATGAATCTGTTCCAATATGACAGGTACTCAGCCAATTCAATAATTTGAAATTTAAGCGTTCAAAATGAAAATGATAGATTCTGCTTTAGTACCGTGACCTGATCGTGAATGTACACTATCGAGTTCTCATAGTAGAACCAAATAGCTACTTGGTTTTCAATGATTGTCTAGTTGAAAGCATTTCATACGTTTAGTTTATCGAGTTAATGTATGAATAGTGTATAATCGGTGCATCACATATGTGAAACGAAATCAAGGTATCAGTGATTTCCTATGAATAGATAATTTTTAAGAGTTCAACTTATCCCATTGTTGATATTAGTAACTGAATTTTAACCAATCTTAACCAGAATTTATGCATACATCGTACAGATTCCCTCATTATGAACATTTTTGACGAGTTCTATGTTTCATTGGTACTTACTTACTTACACCTGTTACTCCCAATGAAGTATAGATCGTCCACCAATATTCTCTAACCCATTTTGTTCTAGGCCTTCCTTTATAGTACTTTCTTCAATGTATACCCTATCCACATCAAGCACTTCCTGATTTCTTCCTCCATTGAAATTTGGTTTGTTCTCTCCTATAGTTGATTGTTGATGATAGTGTCTAATCAATGGATCCGAAGTATTTTGCATAGACAACTGTTAATAAACACGTATATCTTCTACATGATTACTTTTTTTAATTCTTCAAGTTTCCACCTCATACAATAGAACTGTCTTAATATTTATATTGAAAATTTTGACCTAACTGTTAACTACAATAAATCAGTCAGTCAGTCAGTAACAACGTAGAACTTCGTACGTACGTACATCAGTCCAAGTTGCCACACCACATTGGCACAGAGATACAGTTGTCGACTCAAATTCCGTGGTAGTAGAGGTAGTTAGAGTATAAGCAGTAATCGGAAACATTAGGGCTTGAAGATGTTATTCAGGGAGTATAATACAGTGAAATAAATTTGGAAAGACAAAAAAGGGACACGAAGGATTCAGTAGATTAGAATTTGAGAGAACACAAAGAGTGGATGCACCTGCGCCATTGCAAACGATCTTGAGCCATGTCATTCAGGGTCTCTAACCATCGGTTGCCACCATCTCTCGGTCCCCAACCAGGTAGTCTACACCTACCAATATGTCTCAGTCCACTTGTCAGTGACTTCATGGACTTCTGCCATGTTTTGGTCTGGTCGTCCCTAGCTTTCTTCCAATCTACTCCTATACCATTGAACATCGCATGTCGAGGCAGTCGGTGGTTGTGCATACGTAACACGTCCCAGCCATCTCAACTGGTGAAGTTTCACTACTTCATCAATTTATTTTCCATCCTTACCTAGTACCCGTTTCCTAACAACTGCGTTACTTACTCGATGGTCCCATGATATACGAGCAATGTTTCGAAGACACCTATGATCGAATACTAGTAACCTACGGATATCCTCTACTCTTACCGGCCATGTTTCACTTCCATAAAGTAGGACGGAACGAACTGCTGCTCAGTAAACACGTCCTTTGGTTGATAGACGGATATCTCGCCTACGCTATAAATGACACAAGTTGGTAAGGTGAGGTGTGACATTTTTAGGGTCGATCTTTTCTAACCCCTTCCTTCCTTGTGCGAAGGCAGCATCGCTGCAGATGTTGGTTGTCCGAGGGAAACACCTTACTTCTGTCATACCCCTCTACAGTCACCAGTACGACTTCGCCCTCAGACCTTGAGTTGCTACTTTTAGTCTTACCGTTCTCCAATCGACCTACCTGGCATAATAAAACCTATAGTAACATATGTCCCAAGCATTATAGCTCGGTTGGGTCACCAGGGTAGGTAAGTCCGATCACCGCGTCAAGGTAGCAGCTACGGTCAGGTAACTTCATTAAAGTTCAATTTTATCATATTGTACATGTGTTTAGTTTCTCTTCATGTACTATCTAATTGTTTTGTTTTCCTTCTTTTTTTTCCTTTTTTCTTTTGTTACTAGATATTAAAGATTCATCTAAAACTTTATCTCCTAATCATACACTTTCTAAACAAATATCTAATTCAATGATAGAATTGAATTGTTTTAATTCATTTGAAAAATCAAAACATAAATCAACCAGTGATCCATTTAATCTTAATAACTTGATTAATCATTATTCGATGAATAAAAAGATTATACACCATTGGAAACAATTACCAAAATTATCATTCATATCTTATTATTCATCTAATACAAATTCATTAGATCATATCAATTCAGATAATGATGATGATAATGAATATTATAATTTTATTAATATACCATTATTAAGTACTATACCAAGTGATCATTTATCTTGTGATCAATCGTTTGATCAATATTATCATAAATCAATCAGAACTAAAAAATATTCTAATCATTTATCATTAATCAATAAAGTTTCATTAAAGAATTCTAAAAGAAAACCTTTACATGAAATTCAATCAATAAATCATAATTAGAATTAGTTATCAATTGTTATTTATATTATTCAAGTGAGATTGATGTTTTCGTTTGGTTTTTTGTTTTTTTTGTCGTTTATTTTAAAGTTACATTACTTGTTGCCCCCAAATGCCCTGGTATGGCCGAGAGCGGGGTGGGTTCGCCCTCCCTCTCGAAATACTCTCACACGGCCGCGCGTATACAGCCTCTGCCAGGGAAGTTCTACTCACTGCCTTCTCGTGGCGGGGGTGTTGTTTACGAAAATGTGAGGACGAAAAGCGAATGTCCGGCGCTTTAACCGGATTCCAAATCAATGGTGCATATGGGCACCAGTATCCTGCGGGAACAAATGGCGTATGAACCAATTTTCGGTCACCGGCTACCATGGGACTGCGTCTCCTTACGATGCTCCGCTGCCTTGTGGGTTAGACCTTTAGGTCAAAGGCTCGGGGTGTGGCCCCCTAAGATAACCACCTGCTTCGGTCTGGGCACCCGGGCAGCATCGCAGCCCACACGCAATTAATGAACTGAAATTGTGTGGCGCATATATATTTGGCGCACTCCTGTACCAATATATATGTGTTCAAATAAAATAATAAAAAATACATTACTTGCTCCGAGAATTCTGTTCTATTAAGGTTGATTTCAATGAAAATGTGGAAAATTCATTATAATCTTCTAAGTGTACTGGTACGACTGAGGGTGAAGAGAATCTGCTCTCCCTCTCGAAACACTCTCGTATAGTCACGCGTATATAGCCAATAACAGGGAGGTCTGGCTTATTGGATTCTCACAGTAAGGGTGTTGTTTGCGAATGAGAGAGAATGAAAAGTGAATTTCTGACACTTTAACCGAGTTGGTGGATATAGAGGATCCATCAAGGGGAGTTGGGGAACCTTGAATTCAAACCAATGGTGCATATGGGTTCCAGGACACTGAGAGAACGAATTGCGTATAAACCAATTATTGGTCACTGGCTACCACTGAACTGCAAATTCTTACTTTGTCTCCACTGCTTTTTGGATCAGAGCTTTGGGCTGGGGGCTCTGAGTGTGACCCCTTTAAGAAAACCACCTAGTTTGGTTTGACCACCCGAGCAATATTACTGCCCACACACAATTAAAGTAACTTGTGTGGCGCATATGTATTAATGTATTCAAATAAATAAATAAATAAATAAACAGCAAATAACAGTAGAGAATGAAATTTATATTTATGATAATTACGAAATGAAAAAGTATTGGTCAACATAAGGGGAGTCACTTATATGCTTAATGAAAAAAAATGGTAAATTAGAAAACACCCTTTCTGATTGTTGGTCAGTATGATAGAAAATTCTAAAATTTAAATATTAAATCCAAGCTGTTTTTTGGGTGATCAAACTACTATACAAACATTAACTGGTTAATATCAGAAGGCGTTTTGTGGATATTATAGTAATTTTAATAGTTCAGATCATGAGTCAATTGAAGCTAGACCACCATGGGAAACCCGGGAGCACTGAACAGCCGTTTCGTCCTACTATGGGACTACTCAGCAGTGAGATAGTAACTCAACTCGCAGAAGACAATGGTGGATGTATCGCCCAATTTTGTGGATTAGTTGAAGTTAAACATTAACACTGTTCGATGCCGGCCGGCCCAGTGGTCTAATGGTTAAGTGACCGCGCGCGAGGCTGACAGGTCCTGGGTTCGAATCCCGCAGGTGGAGTTGTGGGTGCTCGTTGCTGAGGAGTCCCACAGTTGTACAAAGCGGCCGTCCAGTGCTTCCAGGTTTGACATGGTGGTCTAAATTCAATTGAGTCATCATCTCAGCTATTAAAATTAACGTATTAGTTCATTACTTTTCATTGTTTGTCTTTTAGGCTTAGCCCAAATTAAACTTTACTTTTAAAGGATAAATTTTTCATGTGTTTGGGTGACGCGTGAAATATTGGTCTGTAAACTGTTCATTAAAAGGGTTGTTAATGTACTGTAATTCGTATAAATTTACAAGGGTTTATCCTCACTTACTCTGTTGTATTCATTTGTTTAAAACCATCACAGTGATGTATGAAATTTTCAAGTCATATGATGGTTAGTGTTTTTAAAAAAACTGGTTTTGTCTAGACTATTAGTTTCCATTATATCCACTAAACTTAGAAACCACGCGTTGGCAACTTTATTTATCTTGGAAGTCTGATCAGTCATAATAGGTTGGTGTCTGACGAAATCTCAGCTCGGATTCAAAAATGTTCGTTTGACTTTTGCCAACTTACATCGTCTACGGCGAAGGCAAGGTATCGTCTGTCAATTAAAGAACGAGTATTCTGTGCGGCGGTTCGTTCTGCTCTACATTACGGCTGCGAAATGTGGCCATTAAGAATAGAATATACTCGTAAGCTACTACTATTCGACCACAGATGCCTTAGAAATATGGCCCGCATCTACTGGGACCACCGGGTAAGTCATAGTGAGGTTGGACGTAGGGTACTCGGGAATAATGGTAAATCAATTGGTGAGGTCTTGAATGTTTATCGACTGAAATGATTTTGCCACGTCTTGTGCACGCCTGAACTCCGATTACCACGACGTGCAATGTTGACTAGTGTTGGGGATGGTTGGAAGAATGTTAGGGTCGGACAAACCAAAACGTATCATCGGTGCTTGAAATCACTAACTTCTGGTCTGAACCATGTTGGTAGATGCAGACTACTTGATAAGAGTTCACGTGACTATCGTAACCAATGATCGAAGACTCTGTGTGACGTGGCTGAGAATCGATCACAATGGCGTTGGTGTATACACTCTGTCTTCCCTTAAACTAAGCGATTAAAATCGCTTCATATCTTAGTTGCTGCGAACTAATTCTTTCTTCCTGTACTTTATCCTTATATGAAATCTTTCTTTTATGTACTACCACCATTGAATTAAATACTTCTATGAATTTGTTGTTCATCTCGTTGTGTTAATGCGGTATGGCAACTTGAACCGATACATCTATGTGCGTGATCCTACATTGTACCTGGATGACTGACTGACCGGTATTTCGTACACTTAAAATTCAAATAAACGATGATAGAGACTTTAAAGACGATACTTTTTTTAGATTTCCTGCTGGTTTACAGTGCGAAGCGGTTAGTTATATGAGGGAGTACGTTTGTCTAAATTTTTTTCTATAAATTGATAATTATCTTGAAGTTATTTCCTAATACAGTGGTTGTCCATCATTATAAATTGTTTTGTTAGTGTATGTACCACCTCCTTCTTTTATTATAATTTCTACCAGGAATGTTTGATAGTGCGCTAACTATGCACTTTGATGCCTGATTATTATCTTGTGTAACATTTTTTTACCTAAAAAATTGATGAACAAATCTTTGTTGTCGATCTGGAAATAGTTTTGTTTTAACACTATCAAGTGCCTGGAGATAGAAACAATCCTCGTTTGTTATCCCTTTGAACAAGTGTCAGAGTACCTTCTTCAGTGGAATGATTCGAAATGTATAAAACAGTCTCAATCTCTTGAGTACAATTAGAACGCTTGTCCAATGTATTAAATATGTGTAACTACTGTCTATTTCGATGAGCGATGCTTGCTAGCGAAGAATTAGATTAAAATAAAGCTATGGATGGTCGAATCAAAGTGTGGAATCAGTCCACAAAATCACTGACTGTCTGTGTGAACTATGCTGATAGATGCAACCTGCGTGGTTGGGGTATGTATGATACCTCAATTAATTATTAGAGACGTAGGGTGACGTGGCTGAGAAACATCCATATTGGCCCAAATGCAGTTTCCCGGTGTGTCTTTCTACACCTTAATTTCCAGTATCTCTTCATAAATGCTAGCAATAAGTCAAGAGCCATAATCGAATACCGAATGTATACAGCACACTTAGTTTATTTTTTAGATGGTTTTGAATGTGTTTTTCAATGATGAGTATATCAGCTGACTATCCAATAGTCTCAAGAATATATTGTTACACTGGATCTATGATTTGTTCAAAGGGCAGAATCCTTCATCTTGACAGTAAACATTTGATTAGCTGTTGCTTCTTCGACTAGAACTATTATCAGAACAACATTTGACATACAGTGAAAGTCTATGGGATTAATGTTCCAAGTATTATGAGTATTACACAAATCAATTTACCAAATAGACAATTAAATACTAAAGAGAGTATGAACGATGATTGGTGCTCTCTTTAAGATAATAAAGGGGAACTAATATTCAAACCTTTCTAAATAATTAAGTTACATTATCCTAATGTATATTAGAATAAAAACGTTTAGTCTAAGCTATTTCTTTTACTATAAACACTTTACCTAGTTAATTATCTCTAATATATATTAAGGTATGTCTTTTTTTTTGTATTTATTACATCATGCTGATGCATTTCAGAAGAAAAAATTTCATCGTCACTACTACTATTATCATCATCATCATCAATTGGAAACTAATTCACTCAATTCTATTTGTTGTTGCCATCCTCATTATCCTCTGGATTTTATTGATTTCAATTTCATTGTTTTCATTGATAACATCAATCTCATTCAAATAATTATCACCATCACCCTCATCACCATCACCACCACCACCATATGTCTATATAGATCTTGAGAGATTTTTAAAAAAGAAAGATAGTGAAAGAGAGCGAGAGGGAGAGTAATGAAAAACACATTGTACCTTAATGTGTTCCAAATTTATTTAGTTTTTTTTTGTTTAAGAATAATCACACATTAAGCTAATGTGAATGTATCATGTGTAAATGTTCCTGTTCATCTTTTTATCCCTTTCATCATAACTCTTCGATAAAACTTCCACCATTATTATCATTACTATTATTGTTATTAATAGTAGTATTAGTATGATTATATAATTCATTGTTATAATGCTGCTTTTATTGTTGTTCTCGTTTTTATCCTGGTTTTGTTTGTTTGTTTGTTTCTATTGCCCCCCTTAATCCCATTTTGTTAGTTTTGTTTTATATTCTAGTGTTAATTCATTTATTGTTAATCTACTCTTTTAAATAATAATAGTAATAATAATCAGAGTAATAACATTTAGTTATGAGTATTAAAATTTTATCATTTGCTGTTGGTCACTTTCTATTGTATATACTTGAACACCGATGACCATGATGCGCAATGCTAACCGATGTTGGAGATGGTTGGAAAAAAGTTAGGGTCGGACAAATCAAAACGTATCATCAGTGCTTGAAGTCATTAACTTCTGGTTTAAGCCATGTTGGTAGATGCACACTACGTGATTGGCGTCTGTGTGACTAGCGTAGTCAATCGTTGGAGACTCTGTGTGACATAACTCAGAATCCATCACAATCTATGAAATCTTTCTTTTATATATTACCACCATTGAATTAACTGCTTTTATGAATCCTGTGTTCATCCTGCTGTGCTAATACGGTATGTCAACTTAGACTGATGCATATATATGCCTGGTTCTACATTGTAGCTGACTGATCATCACTTTCAATCAGAAAATATAATTAACTAGGGAAGTTGATTTGATCATGTAGATCCAAGTCAATAATAAAAGCTGATTTGAAATGATAATAGAGAATTATTATCAGAATGGGTTTTGTGGAGATTTTTAGAAATTTCACAAGTTGAAATCATGAGTCAATTGAAGCTGCTGAGGAGTCCCATACTAGGACGACACGCCCGTCCAGTGCTTCCAGGTTTTCCATGGCGGTCTAGCTTCAATTGACTCATGATTTCAATTTGTGATAATAGAGGAGACGATTGCAAATATGATTACAAACCAACTCATATCTGAATAAGATGGAAGATATTAGAAGTAAACGTTTAGCTAGTTATAGAAATAAATTCAAATATTCTGGTAAATAATTCCTCTTTATATGGAATTTTAATCAACCTAAAACTTCAATGAAAAGGTGATCTCAATAAAAAAACTTAATCATCTCCACAACCCTATATTGATAATTATCATGTGCTCACTAATGACTAGATTCATGAAGGAATTCTCGGAGTTCTAGTGAGAAGCAGTGATCAGTGAAGCTAATCCATTTCAGGTCGAGACAGGTATCTACCTAAGTACAATCAAAGATGGTCGCGCAATTTCGCGAATTATTTGAAGTTAAACATTAACACTGTTGGATGCCGGCCAACTCAGTGGTTTAGAGTTTAAGCGTTCACGCGCGAGACCGATAGTTCCTGGGTTCGAAGCTCGCGAGCGGGACCGTGAATACTCTCTACTGAGGAGTCCCACGATAGGATGAAATGGTCGTCCAGTGCTTCCAGGTTTCCGATGGTTGTCTAACATCAATCGAAATAATGACTTGTCGTTTTGTGCTGATTGGTTCATTAATGGAATAGATTCCTCGAGAATTTTCTTCCGACTAGTTGCTATCACGAAACAATATCTTCAGTAGATAAAATCTACCTTGTTGACCACTGAAGATTTCTTTCAGAAGCATAAGTCCTATTATAAGATAATCCAACAATCTGACCCAAAACCTTCATAGAGAACTCAACATGTCTTCAAATATCATGTCAGTTATGAAGTATTTAGGCAATCATTCTGGAATGTAAAAAAAAGCTTCGAAACGATCTTTGGGCTTAATTTACCATGGGTATTACAAGATTTCTCCCAAGTTTTTGGTTGTAAATTTGATAGATAGTTTTACTGATATGATGGTGACCTGAAAATGCTCGAACTTTTGGGTGTCATTTATTTTTGTATTATTGTCTCTTTTTATTTTGAACAGGAAGATATTTCTTTATTTCATCGATTAATCAAAGTTCTCATCGTTAGAAACTTGCCAGTGCATTGTATATAATCAGCTTGGAAAGTTCACTAACACGTCAGTCATCAGTAATGGAGATCGGTTGACCGTTTTTAATTCTTGCTACATATTTTCTGGTGAATATCAACCTTATCTTTGTGACCCTCCATCACCAGGGATAATGTTACTTGGTCGAGTAGGTTGTTCTGTCGTTAGCCACTCGATGAGAATAACCAAAATTCATTCTGACCTCTAATCGCAATTTGAAATTTTGTTATTAGTCTCGCAGTTGATTAATCTTAGAGAGAGATCAAAAATACAAAATATGTAATCGTCTAAGTCGTTATTCAAGTTACTTAATGTTTATATGAGAAGGTCTCTAATTTTTTAATAAGATTGGGATGAGGATAAACGAAGTCACTTCCGTCATTTCTCTTACTGCACTACATTCAGTTAGCTCCATTTAGAAGTTTAGGAACTTCTACATTAGCACATAGATTGTCATGAAGATAAATATGTAGTTGATAACAAATAGTAGGCGAAGTTTTTAAGTGTACAATAAGAGAATCAGTCAAGAAGATTTGTAGCTCAGGTGGATGATTTTGATGGAGTTTTTTTCTCTGAGCTGGATGGTTTGGTCGTGGAGCTTTCATCGTTCTTCTGAACGACATAATCAACACTTCTATCCGAAGTTTGTGCTGATGATATCACTAAGAAGAACAATGAAAGCTCCACGAACAAACCATCCAGCTCAAAGAACAAAACTTCATCAAAAAGAGAATCAGTCAATCACTGTGTATCTAATCAAATTATGAAATCCCAAATATTTTTTAAATTTTATTTTCTATAAAAGAAATTATTGAACATATATTTAGAGAGATATCGTTGTAGCTGAAGTTGTATAACATAATTTGATTATCATTCCATCAATAGCGCTTTCCTAATTCAATTTAAGGCGTTACCAAAGATAAATGGAAAGAAAAATTCACAATCGATTATTACATTTCAGTGATTAGAGGCTTGTGATAGAAAAACGAAAATCATTTGTGTGTTGAGTTGGTCTTCATCATTAGATTTGATTGCTACTTAGTTTATTATTAAAGTTTTATTTGGTTTACTAGGTCTTTCATTAGGATCTCTTCTGGACAGATTTTCAGTGTTTGGGTTATAACTCAGTCAGTGGTTTGTATTCCATGTCCGTATCATTTTATTAACTTTCACTTTACATGCTCGTTTTCGATAATTCCACGTATCCACAGATATCTGGAAGTGCAAAAATTAAACACTTGAACTGCTTCACTCAAATATAAACTTCTACTATTGATACTAGGCTGTTTACCAAACTGCAATCACTTTATCCTCATTTCTATCCGTCTTCTTTTCAGTACGGCAATTAGAATTAGAATCTTTTGACTAAACACTTATTTTGTCAGTGATATTCCGGTCACTTTGTAAATTCGGCATTAGATGGTAACTTGGTAGGTCTCCCTGTATGATTTCTTCGACTATTCTTTTCCATTATCTCTTTTGAACAGTACTTTTTAGTTAATCACCAAATTACTCTACCTACACAGAGCTCCTTAAACTGGGTCAGAGTAAACTGTATTTTGTTACTAGAGACAATGGTATGAGGTAGTTCGAAAACAATTTGTTATCACTTCCAGATTTCTTAGCACAAAATCAATTGAAATACCATCTTACAAAAGTTCCTTTCGATCATGGTAAAGTTTCGATGACAACGTAAAAAATCCAATTAAAGATACGACTAAGTTTCTGTTGGTAGTTGACATGGTTGGGTTTCCTGCTTTCACAACTAATCTAAATGATTGTACACAATCGTCGTATTACATCGAAAATTTTTTGACATCTTGATCAATATCTGTCCGATATAGTCAAGCACCGGTCGTTGATTTCATTCGGTTCATATTAGGGTAAAGAGATCGTGTAGTATTCACCACTGATTCTTAATAATTACTAGGAGTTACATTTTAGCTATAAGTGACACAATGTAATTGATAACATGTACATGCATACTAATCTACAATATCAGTATATTAAATTGTTTTGATTACAGTTTTATTCCTAACACAACCAATCAAATCACGATAGTTGATTATAAATGATTCCCTTAGATGGTGTTCAAGAGATCATGTAACCCAAGTTCTGAGCTTTGCCTCGATATCTCTTACCGCCTACTTGTTTCGTATGATGTATTTCTTTCATTTTTTGTTGTTGACAGAAATGTCTTGTTTTTTTTCAGATTTAAATAAACCAAATACAACCTTATCTTATTTTAATCACTATGAAAGAGAAAGGATGAGAGTAAGCAACTTTGCCTGACACCGGTCTTTATTTCGAACGATTTTGTCAACTGTCCTCCATGCACAATTTTGCAGTTTAATCCATCATAGGAATTCTGTATGATATTGACTATCTTCTGAGGCACGCCATAGTATCGAAGGAGCTTCCATAGTGTTGTTCGTTCCACGCTACCAAATGCTTTTTCGTACTCAATGAAGTTGATGTAAAGTGATGAATTCCATTCGATTGATTGTTCCACAATGATCCATAGAGTTATGTTTTGGTCTGTACAGGATCTATCCTTACGAAATCCTGGATTTCGTCCTATTTCGGAATATATCATTTGCTTGTACACGTATCAAATAAAAACGAAACATACATCTTAGATTCCACAGTTAGATACTAATCATCTTTGTTTAAAAACTATACCATTGAACAAAAAAAGGCGATAAGTAGTTTCTTTCATTGAATTCTAGAAAAAATCTTGTTTCAATGATGTTTTCCATTAAAATAATGAAAAAACAAACAAACTTAATGGACATCTGTTTGAATGAAAATAAGGATAATTATCTTTTTTTTTGACCAAAAAAAAGTACTTTGTATCTTAATCAATTACTGAATCATTCGTTTATTCAATTGTTAGTTAGAAATAAAAATTAATTGAAAATTGAAGCATTTGTCTTACATGGGAGACTGACAGGTCGTTGATTCGAATCTCATGAGGTGGAATCTTAGATGCATACTGTTGAGGAATCTCACAATAGAATGAAATGACTGTCCAATGCTTTCAAGTTTTCCATGGTAGTCTAACTTCAATTCACTTATGATCTCAACTATTTCAATGAAAATAAGTTTGATTGATTTCTATTCTCCACCCTATCAACTTCAATCTAATAGATAAGCAAAACTCTATGTGAACATATTTAAACAGGCCTTATTTGAAGAGTGAGAGAGATGATGAGACCATCACGATGTTTGTAATCTCTTATAAAA